TCGTTGCAATCACTTCACCTCACAAACAAGCACGTCCGCTCAGCTCGGCTGTTCGCACTGGATTGGTTATCTAACTATGGTTCTATAAACACTGCCATGGAATACAAATATAATTCCCTTTGCTAATGTAATTTTGACAACTTGGCAACATCGACAAGTCTTTTTTTTTATTGGTTCTGTACTAGAAAATTTAAATTGATAAAAAATTAACATTGCTTTATTTAGATTCAAGCAATATTAAGTGGGAAATAAATATGATTTGGCATTCCTCTAATAATATGACATCATTGTTAATTAAAAATGTCGTTGAGACTAATGAAAAGGTATTATATTTTTTTAGGAATATTAATTAAATGTGGAGATTTAGCTAAATTAATATTATTATTAGGTACCTTCTTGAAACTATAAAAATATTAACTTTAAAAATTAAGTAATTTCGCAAAAATAAATTATTATAATATTGTTATATTATACTACGCCACTGGTTTTTTCATCGTCAGGTAGGGGCAACATATTTTGGTAGTTTTTGCTTTTATTTGCCATCACGTTAACACTACCGTTAACAGTTTACTTTGCCGCTGGTGCCAGTTTTCCACCTGTCATCTTGAAAGTGTCAGCAGTGGATCATTAATCATTGATTATAATAGTGGCGCACAGCGTAGCTTTTATCAGTAACGCCTAAACGATATGATAAAAATGCAGTGAGAAACTAGAATTTAGACAGACTGCTCCCAATAAATGTAAATTTGTTACATATTTGACGTAAGGTTCGATTTTAGTCAACCTCCATTTTTAGGAAGGGCTCGCCTTGGATTTGACAAACAGTATTAATCTAGTAGGTACTGCATTATCAAGATCGTAAGATCGTGTGACTACTAGACAATTGATGGTGCTATAAAATTTGACACATTTTCGACAAGTTGTGATGTTAAAAAAATCTCTTTAAGTTTGGCATACTACTAATGAGATTGGCTGTGTGCTTTAAGCCCTAGATAATTTCGTTCATTAGTTACGTGTAAATTCATTGTAAATATCAACTGTACTCATACATTATCACCAACTTTAAAACCTGCTTAGGAATTTAAACAAATAAATTCTTGTAATTAAACTATTGTGAACTTGAGTGAGACATGAGTCGAGGACAAGTGGGAACACGTATTCAAGTCCCCGATGAGCTGCGTGAAGTTCTGCTTGAATTTACTATAAGTTATCTCTTGGAGCAACCGGGTGATGTTGTATCGTACGCATCAGACTACTTTACAAGACTTAGAGAATCTCGAACAACGGCTATCCTGTATGAAAGGGAGGAAGGTGCCGAGGTTGTGTCCCCCGATGAATCTACTATATCCAGAGAAGAGGGTAAGTACTTTTAATAATTAAAAACAACTGTTACGCCTAGTCTTCCCTATCACTTATTAATTGGTACATATCTTGGTATGTTTTCGATATTAACATTTTATTTAGAGTCACAGATGAGTTATTTTTTTTTGCTATTAACATATATTTTGGGCTTACACGGCTGTTATACTCTTTTTTTGTGTAGTTGATGACCTTTCAGCTTGTTATGGGGAATCAAACGCGTCGGAAAGTCTTACTTACTATGTTACTGAAATTATTAGAAAATTGGCCGCTTGTCAGAAAGAGATTGGTTTGCTTTGAAAATTATTTTATTTTGGAACTAATATATGATATGTCATTAATCTCCAAAAATAATATTTGGCTGCATTTAAATATCCTACATGATTTAGAGGTAATGTTTATTTGTTTATTAATAGATGAATTTATTTAGAGAAAAACTAGCACCAAATCTTGTACAGCATTTCAAAAGATGTAAATAAATTTATTTAAACGAACTATGAAGTCGCTATTTTTTAATTCTTAGATCTTTTAAATACAATCTCGTATTTGAAGAATTTATGATCTGAATTCCAAAAATAACTAGAACTGGCATGTGAATGTTTTTTATTTTTCAAATGATAAAATAACTTGCACAAAATGTATCAAATAACTTTTTTAGTTATATTAAGATTACCTTGCTTTTAAAATAGTAACATTTTCATTATAATTTACATTTACATTAATTAAACTGAATAAGTGTTATTGAGAATATAATAGATGCAAGGAAATTTACATATTATGGTACGAAATATGGACATTGAACTAGTAACACGTGTAATAAAAATGTGGTCCACAGCTGGGTTAGGATAACGTTATGTCTATAAATTCATTAATTTTCAACAGCGACACACATATAAAGTATTAAATTTCAAGTACATTTTTTTATTACCCATTAAGTTGATGGCCTTGTTATTGTTGCTGTTGTAGAACCTCCAATAGGGAGATTTGCCGGTCGTCGTAAGTCGGTATTTGCGGAAACCTACAACCCAGAGGAAGACGAGGACGATGACGGTACAAAGGTTGTATTTCCCAAATCGGATGAGCAACGCCAGCAGCTCGCCGAGGCCGTCAAGAATATATTATTATTTAGATCACTGGAGAAAGAGCAAATGCAGGAGGTCCTCGATGCGATGTTTGAGAGGAAAGTACAGAAAGACGAGTTGGTTATTAAGCAGGGTGATGATGGCGACAACTTCTACGTCATTCAAAAGTAAGTCGATTTTTTGCTTGAGGGGAATGTTTGAAAAACACATTTAGATGCATTGAATTAAACATAAATGTGGTTAAATCCAATTAAATGCATATAAGTACCTATAAGTATCATTAAGTTAATTTTACTTATGTACTCGTAAATATGTTTAGATACGTTTTAAAGGAATTTAACTTGCTTGGAAAACATGTTCTTCTAGTAAATTCGTAGGGGGGGAGGACATTTTTTTATGTTTGATGTTGGTAAAATAATGTTATTTTTATTCATTTATTAGTTCTGAATACTCCGAAAACAAAACTTTTTTTCTTTTTGGTAAATTGGCTACTTGCGAAAAAATTAAAAAATTATTGATGTAAACCCTGCGCCAGACTATAATTATTTTTGTAGTAATAACAAAAATATCTCGTACTGAAAAAAACAGACAAATAAAAAATTATTGTGCACAGAAATAATATTTGCTGATTTTGTATAATATTAATTGATGCTATTAGAATTTTAATCCATAAAATAATTCCACATATTTTTTATAAAATTTATCTTTCCTTTAATCTTGACTGATTAAAATAATTCCATTTTCTCCTAGACCAAAAACCTTTTTGTGTATGTAGATTGCCTTTATTTGATTTTCGAAATAATCATAGTTTATTAAATATTTACATAGGAGATATTGACAACAAATTTAGGAAATAGTGATTAAGATGGAAACGTATAGAGCTGATATCTTCACAAAATGGAAATTTTTTAAAATCTATTTGGATAACAAAATTATTTTATATTTTTAAGAATTTCTCAACTTAGTGATAAATTCTGATAATTACTTTCTTATTTTTCCGAAACAATATATATACTTGCTGTTACAAATTCGCTTCTCACTACAGGGATCTCGGAAACGGTAAGAGATACGAAGTAGCTTAGATAGGGGCAAAGTTGCATAATCAGGGGACCAACATTCATTTCTGCCTTGTTTGAGGTGAGGTGAAAAAGAACACTTTCTCATGGCAACTTTTGGCCCTCTATGGAATGGCATAATCAATTTTTACATGTAACGTTTCGTCTCTTCAGGACCATCATCAACTTCATTTTTTTTTAAATATGACCCTGAAAATTTTATTATGTATTTTGCAAACCTTCATGACCTCCAATACCGTACGCTTCAGCCCGAACCAGATTCAGACATTTTGTCTCGAAATATTCAACTTCTATGTATTCGGTCCAAATTTATCTAAATTTTTTATTTAGATAAGAAAACGACGTTATTTGAATCGACCAAAGTTAAAAATAACATTTACATTTTTCATAAAATATGGCCAAATTTTACTAACTTCTACCTACATTAACTTCCAAATGTCCATATCGAAATAAAACTGATATACAAAAAAAAATTTAGGTTTATTATTTGTTTTTTTTTAATATTGGTGTTATATTTTTATCTTGGGCTCATATATTTTAAGTAGAGTATAACTTTATCAATATTATTAATAGCGTAAATATTAACTATCATAATAAAATTCCTAATAATTTGTTCAAAGAAGTGATATTTGTTGATTTTATATAGTATTTTTAATTAGCGCTATTAGAATTTAGTTAAAAATTCCATATATCTTTTGCAAAATGTATTTTTTTATTTAATTTGAAGTGATAAATGTAATTTTTCCTAAATCAAAAAATCTTCTTGTTTATCAAGATTGCCCTTGTTTGATTTCTTTGAAATAATCATAATTTATTACTCTATTGCACAACTTTTTTTACTGCATTATAATTTTTTTTTCATGAAAGCTACAGAAATATAGACCATACAAGCTACAGAAATATAGACCAATACTGAAGAAAATACTTAATGAAAAATGGGAATGTTTTACTTAATTTTACAACAAAAAAAAAATTGAAATTGTTTCAAAAGTATATACAGGGTGTTTCAAAATAATGTGCAAATATTTTAAGGAGGTGTTTAAAAAGTAATTTTAGGGGGAGTATAATACATCTTTTCGATTTGAGAACTCCTGAGAAAATATTCAAATCTCAAAATGGCCGAAAAAATTAGCTTTCATTTTTTAATTAAATTTTTAGTTTATATCCGATAAAAAAAGAATTTTTGCAAAAATCATGTCAAAAATGACGATTGTTTTTAGTAACTGTTATACTAATTATCTGTACCTAATCGACAAGGAAAAATAATTAATTTTTTTGTTTGTAAACCATTTAGTATACGAAAAAATGGGAAGAGTAAAAAAAAGATTCTAAATGAAGTGTAGTATTAAAAGCTATTTTTCTTGTTGGAATTGGCTAACATAGAAAAAAGTTGTGAGATAAATAAAACCAAGGGGTGCAATTTCTTTCATTCAAAGACATACACTAGAAAAACAAATCTACCAAAAATTACCATTCAACTAGTTTTTAACGTGTACCAAAATTCAAATTTCTTAAGTTTAACCGTTTTCATGAAAAAAAAAAGCTAATTTTTCGGCCATTTTGAGATTTGAATATTTTCTCTGGGGGGGGGGGCTCAAATAAAAAAAATATATAGGAAGTACTCCCCCTAAAATTACATTCTAAACACCTTAAAATATTTGCACGCCATTATGAAACACCCTGTATATAAGCCATTAAATAAATCATTACATTTTTAAACTGGTTATACAACAAAATTTTTGGCTTACTATCAGCGTTGCCAGATTTTTTTGGGCAATACGGGATTTTGAAACTTTGAATAAAAAAGCGGGATTCTTTCGCCCAAAAACGGTCATTCTAAGGGTAACCAGATCTATAGGGAGTCATGACGCGTTTGTATAATTGATGCCTAAAAAAAAAAGGTTTTAGCATATTTGAGAAACAAATAGTTTTCAAAGAAATCGATGTCTTAAAAAAAAAAGGACGTAATCAGGAAATATCTACTTAATAACGAACCTGGAGAAATTAATCGATGCCTACAAAAAAACAAAACAAGAGCTGGAAAAGCGGGACTGAGCCTGTCCCGCGCGGGACATTTAATTTTGGGTTAAAAATCGGGACATCCCGCCAAAATCGAGACGTCTGGCAATGCTGCTTGCTATATAGTTTGACATAACTTCAATAATCGCCAGCGCACTAATAAACAAATAGCGTTTTTTTAACAACCCAAACCTCATAAAGTGGTTGACTTGAGTTTTTTGTTCTGTTAACAGTTAGAGTTTGCCACAGATTTGAAATTTCGTTTAGTTTGTGGTGTGAAAATAGTAGGGTATTATATCGTGACGTCACTTGAGAGCAAGACTGTGGAAATGATATATTGGCATAAAATGCAACTTTCTGTAATTTTTCTTATAATCCAAAGCTGTTGCGGCCTAAACATCACTTCACTCATTTTACTATGTAAAACAAGTAACGTTTTCTCAGACTTTAAACTTGACACAATATTTAAGGTTACGTTCCTGTTCAGACCACACTGACTTTTTAAACAAGATTAATACCATATGTAAATGTGGAAATTACACATTTTACGTCCACGATCATCTTTAATTGTCAATTTATAGATAATATATAGCTACCGAGGTGTCAATATAGTACAAATTTGACATTTGACATATCATATGATTGGTCCCAGGTGACGTCATGCGGAGACAGGACGAAATTGGGTTGGTTGATGATTACGTCGTATTATTTTCACATGACGGATCTGAGAATAGGAATCTTTTACTTATATTGTTCCCAGATTGGGAAGGTGATGCAAGAGAGTTAAATATTTAGATAGGAAATATGGACAAGAAATTTGGGAAAATGGAAACGGATATAGAGTTTATATTCTACAAAACCTGGAAATATACAGGTTCGGAAAGTCCCCATGGTTCATCGGCCGTTATGTGAAAGCGATAAAGTAAGTCATAGAAATCCGTGCGATAGAAAAGGATGGCTATAATGAAGGCGTCTCATAGTCACTGCCCGTTTCGCCCTTCCACAAATAAGATCCACTTCCACTTGTAATTCAGCAACCGGTGGTCATCTTTGTTTTCGTCGTTTGCCTTTTCTGTAATAGATGTCACTACTTATACAATTCCGACTTCGGTATTCCGATATGTTAATACAATTTGTTAACAGAGGGCAGCACAAAGCGTAACAAAGAAAACTTTTTACAGTAGCTAGTAGATACCTCTGTTTGTAAATCTAGTGACCTTGTTTCCCCTACTAAAAAGTTATTCAAATGGAGTATAGTGCTCAGCTGCATTTAAAGTTCATTTAGTTGTTATTTATGTATACTTTTTAAAATGACTTAAAAATCACAAGAAATAAAGCAAAATTCCCTACTTCCCCAATTCCAAAAAAATCTCACCTTGGAGAAATTGTGCTGCCCTCTGTTAACGGATTGTATTAACATATCGGAATACGGGAGTCGGAATTGTATAAGTAGTGACATCTATTAAAGAAAAGGCAAACGACGAAAACAAAGATGACCACCGGTCTCTGAATTACAAGTGGAAGTGGATCTTATTTGTGGAAGGGCGAAACGGGCGGTGACTATGAGACGCCTTCGTTATAGCCATCCTTGTCTATCGCACGGATTTCTATGACTTACTTTATCGCTCTCACGTAACGGCCGATGAACCATGGGAACTTTCCGATCCTGTATATGGAATATCTTGGTCAAAATATAGATTCGTATAAACGGCACTTTATTATATCTTATATCTCTCTTATAGACACTGTTTCTATTAATCTTGATGTTCCAGTGGCGTGTTCCACGCTCTAGTGGCGAGCGATCCCTCAGAGGAACCGAAACACATCCACACGTACGACAACAGCGGCAGCTTCGGAGAGCTGGCCCTCCTCTACAACATGCCCCGTGCGGCGACGATCAAGGCCGCCACCGAGGGTTCCCTCTGGGCCATGGACAGGCAGACGTTCAGACGCATCCTCCTGAAATCCGCTTTCAAGAAGCGAAAGATGTACGAGAGCCTGATAGAGAGCGTGCCGATGCTGAAGGCCCTGCAGGCGTACGAGAGGATGAATCTGGCCGACGCTCTGGTCCCCAGGACCTTCAGCGACGGCGAGAGGGTCATCAAGCAGGGCGACGCCGCCGATGGGATGTACTTCGTGGAACAGGGGGAGATTATAATTAGCGTGTTGGACGACAGCGGTAAGGAGGTGGAGATTAACAGGATCGGGAAGGGGGGCTACTTCGGGGAGCTGGCTTTGGTCACTCACCGTCCGAGGGCCGCCTCCGCCTTCTGCGATGGCGATGTCAAGTGTGCATGTAAGTAGTTTTTATGTAGCGATGTTCATTTTGCGGTGTCGTTTATCGATAAATACTTTAACATTTTCAGGCTAAAAATTTTTTCGTCATCAAAAAAACAATCAACAGATTTTCACTACATGAATGAATTAATTATATGATTTAAAATTTACTTTATTGAAAACATTGAATACTTGTGTGAAAAATCAACATTATTATAGGCAGAAACCTGTTTCGTCAGACGGAATGTCACTATAAATGATGGGTAGCTTGTAGTTCTACAAGTTGGTATCGAGTATTTGCGAAAGGAGGATTAATCTGAAACAATAATAGCTCCGAGATTCTTCTTCTTGTTGCTATCTCTTATCGGCGGCATGCACAATAGATCGTAAAATTCGGGTATTACCGGTAACTGTGGTGCCTTTCACAACAACAAACTGAAACAAAGCCAACAAATTGCACCAGATCAATTTTCAAATGTCAGTGTTGCTATTACGAGTCTGTTAGGCGATGTATTTATTCCAAATTCCAAGCAAAACGATTATTCCACTTCCTGAGGTAGACATACCTCAATTGAAAATATATTTAGCTTTTTTATGGCCGCGTAATAATCTTGTTTTAAAAATAACCTTGAACGTGCCAATAATATCTATGATGATGTAGTTTGTGGAAGTTTGTACATTAGAACTACTTTCCTAGTAATCGTATTGAGAAAACACAATCAGTTCCATGATCTGAATAAACAAAAATAATTGTGGCTTAGGATTTATCAATAAAGATATTTGTCCCAGTTTCTTACAGTCTAATCTGATGTATAGATTTAACCTTGAGCAATTAGTTGCCAGTATTAGCTGTTGCTGGCACCACCAACTTGTAAATAAAGTTCCCAGATTTGAAGCTTTTAGTAAAAACGTCATGTCTACACTTTAATATTATTTTTTTTCTTATATCTTTTTTTATTTGTTAAAACAAAAATTGTATTTAGGCGGCATCTTTTAAGTAATTTTGAATTTATCATAAAACAATAAAAAATATATACAGGGTGTCCCGAAATTCATGCAACAAAATTTGGTCATAGATTCTTAGGACAAATTTAGGGGACCCGTATTTTTTCTTTTTGCCAACTGGCCCCTTCGTTCGGAGTTACAGCCCCCTGAAATCTGCCCCTAAGAAGTCTTTTTATATCTCAAAACCATGTTGTATGAGAATCACTAAATTTGGTACACAGGGGTTTTATGACATGTGGAATGTCACAGTGCTACGCTTTTTGGTGAGAAACCCCCTTAAGACACTTTTTTGTGGGCCCCCTTGTCTTTGTCACCAGAAAAATTTGATCGCAAATTTGATTTTTTTTTTAATTATTAGTTAGCTAGAAAGCCATTGAATTTAGAAACTTTTTGGTCTCTTGATATTTGTTTCGTAAAACGCAATGTTTTTGAGGAAAATGGCGAATCATGATATGCATTTGATCACATTTTGACATTTTTCTCAAAAACATTGCATTTTACGAAAAAAGTATAGTGACAAAAAGTTTCTAAATTTAATGGCTTTCTAGTGGACTGATAATTTTTAAGAAATTTAAATTTGCGACCAAATTTTTTTGTCTCCAAAGACAAGGGGGCCCACGAAAAATTGTCTTAAGGGGGTTCTCCGCAAAAAAACGTAGGACCGCCAGATTCCACATGTCATAAAACCCCTGTGTGCCAAATTTAGTGTTTTTCGTACAACAGGGTTCCGAGATATAAAAAAAAATTATTCTTAGGGGCGGACTTCAGGGGGCTGTAACTCCAAAAGAGGGGGCCACTTGGCAAAAATAAAAAATACGGGTCCCCAAATTTGTCTTAAGAATCTGTGACCAAATTTTGTTGCATGAATTTCGGGACACCCTGTATAAAGAATTGTCCAGAGATCATTTTTGCTGGAATAAAATTAGCATTTCAAACTTACAAAAATATTGTTTTCTGTGATCTTTTGAGAAAAATATGATAAAGATAGCTCAGATCTGTGCCACCAGTTAGGACTGTGGGTAAATTTTTTCACATAGAGTGGCATTTTTTCTCCTTCATTTTGGACATGTTGTTATGTCACACACAGACAACAGACTTTAAAATTGAATTTGTAGATATGGGATTAAATTCTTACAGTACGATAATCACATTCCTTAATCTTCGTGGCTTATGTCAAAAATACTCTGTTTTAAAGCTTATATTCCTTACGTGTGATGAAGATTAGAAGTTGTTATATAAACTGAATGCCGAATCTGTAGATAGTCGGCATATAAAATTTTACGACGTGTAAATATTGAATCAAGGTAATACGGATTTTCTCAAATTATATCTGTCTCTTATCAGTAAGATGCTGTAGCGGTGGCTGTAATGTGACCTTTATTGTTTAGCGTTTCGTGTGTAAAGTTCTATAATAACGATCGAACAGGTGTTAATGAATTTATCTATGTATATTATTTAGTTCAGGAACATCTTGATTTCGCTGTGTCGAGTCGAAAAAGTATTAATAAATTTTCTATCTTCACAACATAAAGATAGAAAAGATTTAAGATAAAATTTTTTAATACTGGTTTTCTAAGAGCAACAGTCCCAGTTTTATTTCTTCTGATAATTCTACGAACGTATAAAATGTCTGTACCGATTTTGTCATTGTTACCATAGAAAACGAATAAATAAGTACTCGATGGAAAACTAGATACGATTCTGTTTTTTGAATGATGATAATGATGAAGACAAACATTGAAAGTATATTATTTTCCACGGCAATTCTTATAAAATCAGTAACAGACTTGATTTAACCAGTGTTTTTCTTTATTTATATTTCTTTTTATATTGTTCGAGTGGGATATTGAAAAACTTTTTTAATAAAACTGAGAACTTTTCTGTTTTCCTGTAATGGCAGCTAAACTTCAGTTCTGGGTCACACTGTATAGGGTAAGCCAAATAGGACACTTTTGGGGCGTTTTTCCTAATTTCCGAAAAGATTGAAAAAAGTAGTCGGGTGTTACATACTTGAGTTTCGAAAAAAAAGTATATTAGCTATGGTAGTTCACAAAAATTGACCCAAAAAGTATAGTTCTATTTAAGTAAAAATGTCTTTAAAACTGAAAATCAACATGTCAGGAAATGTCATGCAACTTTTGGGAATTTATGAAATTTCTAAAAATTTAATTTTTTTGTACAATTTTGGGTTATTTAATAACTTGTGCAATATTATTTTGTATATTGGTGATAATAAATATACACGGTGATTCAGAACTTATTAAAAATAAATTTTTTGAATGTACTCACAAATACAATTTTGTAAAAAAAAAATCAAAAAGGACAGTTTGAAAATTATTTAAAAATGCCCTTTTGCACGGCAAAGTGTAATAAAAAATTAACGAAATTGAAAGTTTCTTTCCCAAGGAAAGAAATAAAAAAAATTTTATAATGACTATTTTATCAGCAAATTCAACGGCTTTTGATGCTATTGTTATAATTAATTAATAAAATTAATTTGTGGTGTTAATTAATAAAATAATTTGACATACCTGATGTTACAACTATTCAAAATTTTGTCCACCGACATGTAAACACATTTGGGCCCGTCTTACCTAGTTTCTACTAACACAAATGTGGTCTTGCTTCACCATAAATTGAAACGATGTCCATCAACTCTGAGTTGCTATACACATGTATACCCATTTTTAACACTTGAAAAACTAATGTAAACACTATCGTTAATACATGTTAATACTAAAATCGGATGTCAGTATTCGGAATCGCCTAGGACCATGTGGAGAGAGAGAGAGAGAGCATTGCACACAACGCATGATGTGAATGACGCTAGTGACTACACAGCCACAAAAAAAAAGTTGATTGTACTTTTCATGCGACATAATATGTTATCCGTAGTTTGTTTGCCTCCTGATCACGAATCCAGTGTCAGAATTGAACTATTACATCACAGGAATTTCCTCAAAAAACAAGTCAAAAATAGCAAAAATTCACGAAAAAGTGCTAGGAAAAAATTAAAAAAAATTTTTTCTATATACAAGTGTTCATTTATATGGTTAAGACCCCGCCGAAAATTGATGGTCCTATTTCTAACCTCAAAAAAACGGCTCAATTAAGGTCATATATCACGAATTTTTTGGGGTCGTTGACCACGAATTCGAGGACAATTTTGCAAAATTCAAGATGCGGGAATGTCTTTTTTTTTACAATTTGGTCGGCCATCTTGAATCCGCCATCTTGAATTTTGCTAAATTGACCACGGATCCGTGATCAGCGACCCGGAAAATTTCCGGATACCAAATTTGGCGCGAATCTGTTATTGTTTGAAAATTCGGGATATCTAACTTAATTTTTTTTTTTTTTAAATTGGAAAAAGAACCATCAATTTTGACTGCGGATTTACGTTCGGCGGGGTCTTAGCCATATAAATGAACATTTAAATACAGAAAACAAACTTTTTTGTATTATTCCTAGCACTTTTTCGTGAATTTTTGCTATTTTTGACTGGTTTTTTGAGGTTAGGAAATTTCTATCATGTGATAGCTCAATTCTGACACAGGATTCGTGATAAGGAGGCAAATGTACTACGGATAACATATATCGCATGAAAAAACACAATTTTTTTTTCGATAGACCCATATTAATTAATAAAATTAATTTGTGGTTTTCATTAATAGAATAGTTTGACATACCTGATGTTACAACAACAACTGTAACACATTTGGGCTCGTCTTACCCAGTTTCTATGAACTAACACAAATGTCTTGCTTCACCATAAATTAAAATGATATCCATTAACTCTCAAGTTACTATACACGTAAGCCATTTTTGACACTTGAAAAACTAATGTAAACACTATCACAACAATGATAATACTGAAATCGGATTTTAGTATTCGGAATTGCCTAGAGTCAAGCGGGCGAATGACGCTAGAGACTACAGTAGCCCAGCCATGTAAAGGTTGAAAATACTGCAACTTAAGGATTTTATAAAAATGTGTTTTCCGATATTGACTCCATTTATCATGACGCATTTATTCCCAAATTTTTGTTGGATAAGTTGTGAATCACCCTGTATATATTGAAGATTCAGTCTTATACTTGAAGGTTAACAATAGGCATTTTATCCTGAAACGCCGGATGATTGTGGCACTTTTTCAATCTACTCTACTCTATTTTCTGATAAAATGCCTACATTCTTTAAAAGTATATAATAATATAATTTAATATTTCAAGATTGGCAATAGGGATGTTGCCTCAAAATGGCAATAGATGTGACGGAGATACGGTTGACATAGTGGCAATATTTTATCAATTTATCAATCGTTCATTTGATTTTCTTTAGGAAATGTTCGTTTGTTTGTATTATGGACAATAAAAAATTCACGGAGTGCAAAACCCATATTTTTTTCGCCACTTTTAACCTAACCATTTCAGTCGAGCTTTGTCAGCGGACGTAGAATCGCTATTGTACTGGAATGGCACTAAACGGTGCGTATTGTTCTAGTTTTGGACGTAGAAGCGTTTGAGCGCCTGTTAGGACCCTGCATGGAGATAATGAAGCGCAACATAAACGACTACGAAGACCAAATGCTCAAGATATTCGGCTCAAAGCAGAACATGAAAGATATCCGATGAAGCGGGCTTAGTCCCTACCATTGACGATAGCCCGGCCCCCCCCCCCTTACATTAATTTTTAATTATGCTAAGTAGTAAACCAAAGTGTTTACTGCACTACACGACTCTCGTGTCTAGTGTGGTGGGAAGCGGAACAGTCTACTAGTCATGTGTATATATATAAATATATTTAATGTTACGAGACGAGACCCTGTGCTTTATCGGTCGATATAGGTACCGGTGATCTGCTGGTCAGAGAACCCGTGGAACCGACCCCTCTTCTCCAACTACCATCCCGCCATCTGTATGTTGTAATTTAATCTATTTATTGTATATTGCAGCTGATTTTCCCCATCCGTTCCTTCCGAGTGATTATACAGAGTAAATATGAACGCACGTTGTTAATGTATTTTCTCTGACTTAGATAAGTTGTTTTGTAATGCAAAGTTTATTGAGAATAAAAGAATATTTATAATTTCGACGACTGGTACGAGTTTTACAGTAGTTGCGTTTGGTCGGTAGTCCCGAGTTGTTTTTGACGGATTTTGTGAAGTCGTAGGTGCGATCGAAAATTTTTTTTTGTAATAGATTAAACAATTTTTACTTGTGAAATGGAAATGCAATTTTTTTCTTTTCATCATTTCGTCTTAACATTGACTTGACGCCAAATACATATTTCAAAACTTCCACGTTTTTATTGCGCCATTAAACCTGTTTTATATCTGCAAATTAACCCAATAAATTGGTTGAGAAATTAGTCAAGAAATTTTTACGATCCAGTATACATGTGGCATGTTTTGACACACTACAACAAATTGGCAAATTTATTGGTCAAATTTAAAATTGCCAACTCTTAAAATAAAAATCAGTCGTGATGATAGCAACGCACAGACCGGACATAAACTCTATCATTAATCGATTTTTGATCCAATAAATTGGCCAAAAAATTGCCAGTAAAAAAAACTGTTTCCAATTTATTGGACAGTTTTTTTTTATGAATTTGACCAGTAAATTAGAATCAGTTCTGTTGTCCAATTTCTTGGCCAATTTGTTGCAAAATTGAAGGCGATGAAACCGTTTCTAATTTATAAGGTACAGGTTGTGTTTTACTGTTGCCAAGATTGATTTTTCTTCTAAATGTTGGTAAATTAAATCTCAAATTTGACCAAGAAATTGGCCAACTGTTTGAACCACATCAAAAGCTGCTACAAGTGCGGTAAATTGGAATCAGTTCTGTTGTCCAATTTCTTGACCAATTTGTTGAAAAATTGAAGGCGATGGAACTGTTTCTAATTTAAAAGGTACAGGTTGTGTTTTACTGTTGCCAAGATTGATTTTTATACTAAAAGTTGGCAAATTAAATCTCTCATTTGACCAAGAAATTGGCCAACTTTTTGAACCACGTCAAAAGATACTACAAGTGCAGTAAATTGGAATCAGTTCTGTTGTCCAATTTCTTGGCCAGTTTGTTAAAATATTGGAGACGATAGAACTGTTTTTATTTTATAAGGTATAGGTTGTATCTTACAGTTGACAAGATTGATTTTTGTTCTGAAAGTTGCAAAATTAAATCTCAAATTTGGCCAAGAAATTGGACAACTTTTTGTAACACATCAGAAGATGCTACAATGTTGTGTTTTACTGTTGCGAAGGTTGATTTTTACTCTAAAAGTTGGCAAATGAAATCTCAAATTTGACCAAAAAATTGTCCAACTTTTTGAATCAGGTCTAAAGATGCTACAAGTGCAGCAAATTGGAATCAGTTCTGTTGTCCAATTTCTTGCCCAATTTGTTGTACAGGTTGCGTTTTACTGTTACCAAGATTGGTTTTTATTCTAAAAGTTAGCAAATTAAATCTCAAATTTGATCAAGAAATTGGCCAATTCTTTGTAACATGTCAAAAAATGCCACAATTACAGCGAAATGTGATAATTGTGATTGATTTATTGAAACATTGGTAAGTGTAAAACAGGCTTTAACATCAAATCCAAATTATTAAATTAAAATTCTACCGCAGAATTTTGAGGAATCGGATTGTTGCTTCACTGTATCAAGATTCAAAATTTGTGTGCTACATTCACAGACAAATTGATGTAGCGAATATATCCGATTTCGTTTTTACTAATTTGTTCATATAAATATTTAATATCAGGATTTTTAATATCAACATTATGCTTTGTGTATATTGCCTTGAATATGTGCCATGTGTGTATTATTTCGTTAACTTGTAAAAAGCCGTAATTATTGTAGACGTCAGTGTAATTAAATGGTCTCGAGACATTTTGCTTCGTTTTTAAATAATACCTCGAGAGTTTTGTTGTGTAAGTCAACTTTTATGAGAACTTTGCGTTTAATTTTTAAATCATATAATGCTTTACAACTATGCAATATAGTCTTACTTGAATATGAAGACTGGAAGGCTTATAACTTTAATATAACTTACTTGACTTGCTGCGTTTCAGCAATAAAATTTACTAGTGCCAATTTCGATGTCTTATTTAATGTAATATGTTCGGAAGGTAGTTCGTGGTGTTTTAATTTTATTTATTTTAGTTGCGTTGAAGAGGCTAGACTAAATAAAAACGGAATCTCTTAAATTTATTATTAAAAAAAATATCATATATTTCGACCCGTTACGGAGATTCCTTTACGCAGTATTGAGGTGTATTATTATCATTAGTATTAGATAATCTAGTCTGATGAGAATTTCGATATTAAGTATTAAATATGTGCAAACATCCGAGAACGCTCTGTATATTCACTCAGTCATATACCTGATCGGGTTTAACTGCGAACCTATTTTCGTAAAATTAAAAAAAAAAATGAATCTCGTAATTCTTACAATTATTATTCCTTATGTACAAATTTTTTGTTATTTTTGTTTCTTAGTTTAAGGAAATGTTTCGATTTTCCATGTGCTCCAATGTTATTGTTAAATGTACGTATTAGAGTAATGCAATTTACTTATTTTAAATTTATCATCTATCTTACTGTAAAATAATTTATTGAACCAAAAAATCATAATTTGTGGCGTTTCAAACGGCGGTCGTTCGTCTGGAGCGCCGCAAATTATTTTTTAGACTATATGTAAGGCTGAACAAAAATATTAATATTAAAAAAAAAATTGGAATTTGCAAGATATTAAGAGTAAGTGTTTACTTTCAAATTCGGGAGATTTTGTGTACCGCTGATTGAAATTGTATTCCGTAAACTCCGGAGGTGAAATAAACGTTAACTCGTTCGCTTGTTAGACAATTCCAAACATGGCCAATAATGTTTAAAAAAAATCGTAACGGGTTAATTTTATTTCACCCTCTGCATCAATTCAGTTATTGCAACATATCACATAAGTTCAGGTGAAAGGTTATTTAATGTAATCGTTAGATATACAATTTTTTTTGTTGTACGTAGGGTTTGTTAGACGTTTACTTTATTTACGAGGAAGTTGTGGTACATTTACAAATTTACAACCAATCGTTCGGATAAAACATTTGTCCAACTTAACTGAATGATATTCTAATCGAACCATGTTTAAACGGCACCTGACCCGAAAAAAAGGACATATTTTAGTCATAACTAGAGTTTGACATTTTCGTGCAATATCATTAAAAGTTTTTGTTAACAGTTTCCCTCGAATATGTGCGTTCATCGGTAAAAGTGCCATACATTTTGCTTTATCGATCATTACAATTACAATTTCTGTCAAAATAATACAAATTATACACTATCAACCACATATATCTGAATAATAACACACTGGGCATAAAAATTAGATAGTGTAATAAAAATACCCAGTATGGCAGCTGTAAGAGTCAATTTCTATGCATTTGCACGACTTTTTATTAGTATTCCATCACGGCGTAAATCAAGAAAACTTTTAATACATTATTAATCTGATTGGTACAGCTCGAGCGAGGATTTTAAAATTTCTCTAGATGTAGCGGCCCATACGAACGCCTAAATCCTAAACAAAACGCAAGTCTCCTTCCACACACTGTTTTAATTTTGCACCAAAATGACAAACTACAACTCTCTTCAAAGAGAATGAAAAATCAATCAAAGAATCTGGAGTCTTTCCGAGACTTAATCAAATAATTGTCAGCTTTTTTCATTGAAGCTTTACTCGTTAAATTACAGCAGCATGGGCTTGCTGCAATGTTTGCCACTAGTAGTTGCAGATTAAGCCACTAGAGGCTCCACACGTTCTTACACACAATAAACACATATTCTTACTTTTACGTCATCACATTGAGAAGTTAGAAATATTCAAGAGTTTTGAAAACATAACTGTGACAGAATGTGTAAATTTAAGAGAATTTTTATGATAATTAACAATATTGCGAGAAGATTGTGCTTTCAAAGCATCTGCAGAACAGTAGGTCATTCTGCCAGTAGGTACAAAGTACTACTTTGTGCTAGTAGGCATTGAGTACCAATGACGTTTAAGATACGACATAATTTCGAGGTTAAATCTCACCCGCACTTAACAGAATATTTAGATAATTTAATTCATAATAATGCTCTATAACGTGCCTTTGCTTAAAGAAAATATAATTAACTTATTAAATGCAGTAATTGGAATACACTCAGCGATATGATTGAATTCCATTGGAAAAAATATGCTGAATTACAACAAAAGTTGTATTTAGAAATAGAACGATGTAGCAGCAACGTATTTTTGGTTCTAATAAGACTGAAAACTGAACAAATAAAATCAAAAATTAAATATCAAACGTATTTATTCAGGGTGTTATAAAAAAAAGTAAGACGAATAGGGGGAGTTCCCCAAAGCCACTTTTTATTCAGGCACTGTCGAAGACATTGGGATAAACCGAAAATCAACAAATTCTTACAGGAATTAATGAAATTAAAGAAATAAATGCTTAAACTGAAAAGAAGACATTTGAAGTACATTGGAAACAGTTTGGGGATAAACAGCTACTATAACTGACTTTTTCAGTTCATGTTTCAATTTTTTTAACCAAAATTTCAGGAAAAGTGTGCGAGAAAAGCAATTCCATACAAAATTATAACTGAATATCTTCGAACACAACAGAGCTATTAATAGAAATCTTTTTTAATTTTAACATACTGACTTGACTTGACCAACTTTTTTGTAACACCCTGTATAACGAGTTGGACAAAAATTAGCGTCATTTTCGGCAAATGTATTCCGTGTAATATGTAAGAATACCTAATACATGTTTATGAGGAAAAAAAATACAAAATTAGCTATTTATGGCATTAGCGTTTCGTTCTGGAATCGCTAAACACTTATTGTTTGGGAACAACATAAATGTTATATTTTTGAGAAATTTGCACAAGTTGAATATATTAAATAGTCTATATTTATTAGATCTTAAAAATATTTTCTTAAAATATTCATATCCGTATAATTTTTGGAACAATAAAAATAAAGGACCACACAGAAATCTTATGCGACAAATTTTGGTTAATTCGACTGAAATTGGAATTAATTTCAGTGGGCACTAAAAGAGCTTTGAAAAGTAGGCGCAGATTTGGTTTTTATATTTACATAAAGTTGTCCGAGGTAACAATTCTATCTGACGTACACTCTCCTAAATTGTAATTAAAATTTACCACCTTCAAGACAAGGTAGCAATAGATTCGGCCTTATGGATGCGAATATAATTTAGTTTAGGTCCTGGTCTACCTTTCGGAAAGTTGAAAGTTTCTCGCGTACGCTTATAAGAGAGCATGTAGCGAACCGAGTAGTTGCAACGTGCTTCCGCCGGAAGAAACGTTTCACTTTCCGAAGCGGTGCGACAGACTTGGATTAGTGATTAAATTTGAATTTAAAATTTAAGACAATCATTCGTATAGGGTATCTTTATTTAACGACCTTAAGGCAATGTAACATTATTCGTCCGGTACCAATTTTGCTAATGGCTGTTTTACGTTGAGAATCTATTCGTGAATAAATTCATGACTTTCTTCTTCAGTTTCTTCATCGATATCTTCATAAAGCGTTTGGTTCTAAGCTTCGTGAAGTTCTTTGAAACAAAAATAGCTACTTCGAACTTTGCAAGCAAGTCATAGTAAATAAAAACAAATTGAATAAATTTTCTTGAATCCGTTATTTTTTTATTAGAGAACATAAAAATAAATTTAATTGTACTTTACCAATTCAAGGATCACTATAAAAATTTGCTGAAGTGATTACGTAAACAAATAACTTTATCTCACTATTTTTGTTGGCACGTCGTGAAGAAATTCAGGAAAATTAGAGCTTTATGAATAAAACTATGAAGATATCACATTTGTCCAACTTTTTCGTGAATTAATTCATGAAGAAACGTAAAACGGCTGTAATTTTTCTTGACTGAGAGAGTTTCGAGTCTAACAAATTCTACCGAGGGTAATTTAGCACAATTTCTAATATTTAAATGTGTAGGTATAGATAAGTGTAACAAGTAGTGGCTTACCTGTCAGTTCATAAATATTCTTGAAGAGAGGTTATTAGCAATCTAACAGAATGGATTATCCTATATGTTGTTTGTCAAGTTAAATGTTGATTGTTTACATGGTATGTGTTACCTCCCAGTCATTGAAAAACTGCAATCTTCGTATATTTCAGATTACGCGCGAGTATGTAAACAATTTCGCCAGGGTAGTTGGATATCCAGCGTTTCGGCATATTAAGAGAATTTAAAATTTGATTTTTTCGCTTTTATCAGCAGGATTGCCTCGATTTAACATTTGCCATGGTTGCAAGCTTTTTTAAACGTGTGTTTTTGTAAACTATCAAATTAAACCATTAGGCAACATATACAGGGTGATTCACTGCAAGTGTTAAACAGTCCGAAGATAGAACATGAAAAACGTAAATTTTTTATTGGAGTTCAAGGATTTTTTTTGGTATACACCCTAAAACATCGTGCTTTGCTTAAAAATATATTGCTTTTCATTTTTTTACTCGCACTGAATCGCCCTGTGGAAGAAAAATTGCAATTTCACTGGATGGGAAAGAAATACGCGATGGATATCGAATTGTCCCGGACCATCTTTTTTGTAAATTTTATATTGTACTTCTACTACTTCTCAGAAATTACAGTATGATACGCACAATTTTACTGAGTTGGGTAAGTTTAGCGATATATCGGTGTGTCATATTGTAACTTTTATTCTCAAAAATCTCTTCGCATAATTTTATGCATTTTTGTGTATTGTATAAAACTTAAGACTTTATTTGTACACAGTATAAGTGTTTTGCCATGTCACATGCCATATTCTAAACACTGAGCCAACTTGCTCGTCCTGTCTTGGGATTCCTTAGTCATATGTACTGCTTCCACAATTATGACTAAATGAGCTTATTGAATAAAGTCGTGTTTTATTTCTTCTACCCTCTTCATTTTATTTGGAAGTTTAATGGCCCCCACCCAGTTGTTCAGGTAAGGAAAAAAGTTCCAGTAAATGTGATTCTAAAAGTTTGTAAATAGTATACTAAAAAACTTACTAAAAAATTAGATTTCTGTCTAATATCTTTCTCATTTTTAAAAACGTGCTTTGTCAAAGTAATTTTAAGTGTGTCACTGTTTCTCATTTTTCGAATTTGGATTTTCATGATTAAACTTGATATTTCATGATACAAACCCCAAATCTGAAATTCACACCCAAAATTTAGCACATGAAATTTTGTGTTTGAATTTTAAATTCAAAATTGCAAACACAAACGAAATTTTAAGTATGAATACGAAGTTTCAAATTCAAGCCCATAATTTTATATTTGAAACTTAAAATTTCAGGGTCAAAAATTCATTATTTAAATTCGAAATATCAAGTTTATACTTGAAATTTAATGTATAAAACTCCAAATCTAAGGTACAAACTTGAATTTTTGTACTTCAGTAACAAATTATCAAGTTCAAGTTGAAAATTTCATGTTTAATACTTGAAATTTCATATTTCAACTCCAAATCTCAAATTCACATTAAAAATTTCATGTTAAAAAATACAAAATTCCAAGTTTAATAGTTGAAATTTCAAGTTCAAGCTCAAAATTTAGACTGAGAAAATATCAAGTTAAACTTGAAATTTCATGTTACAAATCTCAAATCTGAAATTTAAACTCAAAATTTCAAGTTTTGCTTTAAATTTCATGTCTTAAACCCCGAATATCAAATTTACACTAAAATTTTCATATTTCACGCTTGAAATTTCAAGTTTAAGCTAAACATTTCTTGTTTCAAACACAAAGGTTCAAATTCAAGCACAAATTTTCATGTTTCCAACTCAAATCTTTGAAATTTTCCTTGTCAAACACGAAATTTCATGTCTCAAACTCCAAATCTCAAATTCGCACTCAAAATTTCATGCTTAGAATGCAAAAGTTTCAAGTTCAAGCCCAAATTCGTGTTTTATACCCGAAATTTCAAGTTCAAACTCATAATTTCATGTTTCAAAATCGAAATATCAAGTTTAAAATTGAAATTTCATGTTACAAATCTCAAATCTATAATTGAAACTCAAAATTTCAAGTTTTGACTTGAAATTTCATGTCTTGAATCCCGAATTTCAAATTCACACTAAAAATTTCATACTTCAAGCACAAATTTTCAGATTCAAATTGTCATGTATCATGCTTGAAATTTCAAGTTTAAGCTATAAATTTCATGTTTCAAACACAAAGGTTCAAGTTTAAGCACAAAATTTCATGTTTCCAACTCAAATCTGTACTTCAAATTTGAAATTTCCATTAAACACGAAATTTCAAGTTGAGCTTGAAATTTCATGTCGACCAAATCTCATTTCCTTTAGAATGCAAAGTTCCAAGTTCAAGCCCAAATTCTCGTTTTATACCCAAAATTTCAAGTTCAAACTAAAAATTTCAAGGTCAAGCTCTTAATTTCACGTTTCAAATTCGAAATATCAAGTTTTCACTTGAAATTTCATGTCTTCAACCCCGAATATCAAATTCACACTAAAAATTTCATATTTTAAGGAAAAAATTTCAGATTCAAGTTCAAATTTTCACGTTTGAAATTTCAAGTTGCAGCTAAAATTTTCTTGTTTCAAACACAAAGGTTCAAATTCAAGCACAAAATTTTGTTTCCAATACTAATCTGAACTTTGAATTTTCCCTTATCAAATACGAAATTTTAAGTCTCAAACTCCAAACCTCAAATTCGCACTCAAAACATGCTTAAATTGCAAAGTTTCTAGTTCAAGCCCAAATTCTCATTTTATACCCAAAATTTCAAGTTCAAGCTCATAGTTTCATGTTTCAAATTCGAAATATCAAATTTAAACTTGAAATTTCATGTTACAAAACCTCAAATCTGAAATTCAAACTCAAAATTTCAAGTGTTGACTTGAATTTTCATGTCTTATACCCCGAATAACAAATTCATACTAAAAATTTCATATTTCAAGCACAAAATTTCAGATTCAAGTTCAAATTTTCACGTTTCACGCTTGAAAATTCAAGTTAAACCTAAAAATTTCATGTTTCAAACACAAAGGTTCAAGTTCCAGCACAAAATTTCTTGTTTCAAACTTAAAATTTTGTGTACCAAGCACGAAATTTCAAGTTTGAACTTGAAATTTCATGTCGTAAACTGCAATTTCAAATTGGCACTCAAAATTTCATGCTTAGAATGCAAAATTTTAAGTTCAAGCCCAAATTCTCGTTAAATATTTGAAATTTCAAGTTCAAATTAAAGATTTCGTGTTTCAAATGCAAAGTTTCGAGTTCAAGCTCATAATTTCACGTTTCAAATTCAAAATATCAAGTTTACAATTGAAATTTTATATTTGAAATCTGACATTTAAACTCAAATTTTCATGTCTCAAACCCCAATTATCAAGGACAAAATTTCAGATTCAAGCCCAAATTTTCCAGTTTTATGCTTGCAATTTCAAGTTTAAGCTAGAAATATGTTTCAAACAAAAAGGTTCAAGTTCAAGCACAAAATTTCATGTTTCAAAGCAAAACTTAACTTCAAACTTGAAATTTTGTGTACCAAGCACGAAATTTCAAGTTTGAGCTTGAAATTTCATGTCGCAAAATCCAAGTTTCAGGTTCAAGCTGGAAATTTCATATTTCGAACCTGGAATTTTAAGTTTCAGTCTCAAAACTTTGTCAAACTCAAAATTTTATGAATTTCTTAGCGAAGAATAAAATCGCATCGCCTCTCCACATTTCTGCAATTTTCGACGTAAATCCAACGAGTCTCGAGAATATCTTCCGCACTGGAGAAATCACATAACTACAAATTTACGACGATATTCATAATAATCATTATTTATTAATATTGTACAGTAAATATACAAATAAAATGAAAACTGTATAGATATATAACTTTAATCTTTTCAAATTAATACTTATTCAATTCTGAGAGACAAGCGCCCCGCGACGCTTGTGTATCAGAAGTAATTACTCTTAAAATTAACAATTCATATATAATGTATACACTTTTCATTTATTTATAGTCGGGCAAAGTCATGGATGAAGACTTTCATGAATTGTGGTGCAGGTTTTGGTTCATAACGGGCCTCCCCTCCAGCTTGCTGTAATCCAGGTAGAACTCTTTCGCCACCTTCCGCCAGTTCTGCGCGTCGAAGAAGTAGTAGGTGCCCCGTTCGTACGTGGACGTCTTTTCCATCAGGACCATACCGGGCACCTGCGTGATCCACACCTTCTCCTCCGTGTGGTACCTCCACTCCCTGCTGTACCTGCGGGAAAAAAAATTAAGCGTAACAGTATGCGCGGGCGAGGCGTAATTCGACGACTTACAACTCCGAAGCTGCCGCTATTTGAAGTACATCGCCCACGTTGTTGTAGAACATGAAGAAGAGGAGGTCGTCTTTATATCGACTTAACTTCATCGACGCAAGTTTATCCCTGGAAGTAATTATTGTTGCGAGATATTTCATTTAACAGTTTTTATGTAATAAATTGTTTAAAATATTTTTAAAAAAATTATCACAATTTGGAATATTCATACACCAAAATTTCCTGTTTCAAACAAAATTCAAGTTTAAGCTCAAACTATCAAATTCACGTATGTATAAACTCAAAATTTTGTGTTCCGTTCCAAAAATTTTAAGTTCAAGTTTGAAATTTCCCATTTTGAATTCAAAATTTCGTATTTCAACTTCAGGCTTGATATTTCACATTTCAAACACAGAATTATAACTACAAACACCAAATTTCATATTTCAAACTCAAAATTTCATATTCCAAACACAGAATTGCAACTTCAAATTTCAAGTGTCAAACTGAAAATTTCAAGTTCGAACTCATGATTTCATAATTCAAACACAAAATTTCAAGCACAAATTCCAACCAAATTTCATATTTCAAACTCAAAATTTCATATTTCAAACACAGAATAACAACTTCAAATTTCAAGTTTCAAAATGAAAATTTCAAGTTCAAACTCATGATTTCGTAATTCAAACACCAAATTTCATATTTCAAACACAGAATTACAACTTCAAATATCAAGTTTCAAAATGAAAATTTCAAGTTCAAATTCATGATTTCATAATTCAAATAATTCAAACACAAAATTTCAAGCACAAACACCAAATTTCATATTTCAAACTCAAAATTTCATATTTCAAACAGAATTACAACTTTAAATTTCAAGTTTCAAAATGAAAATTTCAAGTTCAAACTCATGATTTCATCATTCAAACTCAAAATTTCATATTACAAACAGAATTGCAACTTCAAATTTCAAATGTCAAACTGAAAATTTCAAGTTCAAACTCATGATTTCATAATTCAAACACAAAATTTCAACCTCAAACACCAAATTTCATATTTCAAACACAGAATTACAACTACAAACTCCAAATTTCATGTTTCAAACCCAAAATTTCAAGTTCAAACTCATGATTTCATAATTCAATCACAAAATTTCAATCTCAAGCATCAAATTTCATATTGTCAAACTCAAAATTTCAAGTTTAAACTTAAAATTCTCATATTTCAATACACAAACTATTAATCTGCGCATACACGCCAATGAATTGCGGGTTTGCCAAACCAAGTGTCAAAGTTTCGTACTTCAAACACGAAACTTCAAAAACAAGTATAAACTCAAAATTTCAAGTTAAAACTCAAAATTTTGTTTTTCATATGCCAAAATTCATCTTCAAACTCCAAGTTTCATGTTTCAAACTCAAAAAATCAAGTTTATACTCAAAATTTGTTGTTTAAATTCAAAATTTTAAGTTCAAACAAAATTTCATATTTCAACACACAGACAGTCGTCATTTATGCAACAATTGTGGGTTTGCCAAGTCATGCATCAAGAAAATTATTTAGAATAATCTATCCTTTAATTTCATACTACAGATTAAATTTAACTTTAAAGAAAAACGATTTTAACTAAACTAACGAGTTTGAAATGCAAAATTTTGTTCTTAAAACATGAAATTTCGAGTTTCAAACACGATATTTCAAATAAAAACAGAAAATTTCGAGTTTAAGCTAGAAGTGTCCGATTTAAAATTTCAAATTTAAATTCAACATTTCTTGTTTTACGGACAAAATTTCAAACTCAAAATTTGATGTTTTAAAATTCAGAATTTCAATTTCAAGTTTCGAACTCAAAATTTTCAGTTAAACCAGGAATTTCATAAAAAATTCATGTTTCAAAATCTGTAAAACGCATACCTGATGGCGTGGTTAATGAGATACTCTGGAGGAACGTGGAAATCAATGTCTTGAGGCCTGCAGGGGTGCTCGGCCCATGGCCCGGCGAACGTGGGGTAGAGGTTGTCCGGTGAATTGAGATTCAATCCGAGTGCAGTCAAGTCTTGCCCCAGGGCCAGGGACACTAGGTTGGGATCAGTCTCGGCCGCTCTTATGAACGTCAACAGGCCAACGATGCCGAACTGATCGTTCACCATGCTGGCTGGGATGTTGGTGACTCGTCCGTCGGGAGATGTTTGAATCCCTGCGAACGGAAGAGGACTGTAACTGCGGGCAATAAAGAGATCGCCACGTCATCGTAAATACACGGTCCCCAACGATTTGCCATTGTAGCGAATTATGATTTTATGTAGACACTTCTTAAAAATGGTCTTTAATCCTCCATATTGTTCAGTATATGCCAAATATTTTCAAAATGTACTTGTTAAATGTGACTTTACATTTAATAAATATTTATACAAAGGTGATTGTTTCGATAATTATTTATTCGTGCCAGTGGATTAAGGACGATGGACAAGACGGAGAATATACAGTTGCAGTTACAGAATTGTTCCTATAACACGGAATTTGAAAAAATTCGCAAATAAAGCCAAAGAGGTTCGCTTACAATGGTTTGTTCGTACACCAATGTTTCAGAATGTATTTTTGGAGAATTTTCATCGAACACAAATAATAAATGAGAACCAATGACTATAAACAAAACGGATACAAGTGTTTAATATTTAACAAATGTAAAATATTATATTTTTGAAAAAATTATCAAATTCTGTGAAAATTGTGAATATGCTGAAAATTTACGAATTCCTCAAAAATGCTCTTTTATTTACCCTCCATATTCATCGTTCATTGTTGACAATCATTAACAAACGCAAAATATGGCATTTTTGAAAAAATTTTCGTTACGCTTAAACATTATCGAAAAAATTCTGAATATGCTGAAGATTTACAAATTTCCCAACAAATAAACATACACAAGATGGACCCAAAAGTTTGTTAATTATTAAAAAAACATATTTTTGAGAAATTTAATAAATATTTATGTAAACGAGATTGCTACGATATTATTTACACACGACTAAGGTTATCGCGCCAATTTTCAATCATTCAGTAGATTTTTCAAATGTAAGCTTTAATATCATCGGAAATTCTTTGTTTTGGAGTCAAATTCTTACGAATCTGATAAAAACAGTTAGTTAAAAAAGCTAAATACAAAAATAAATTTGTTTTTGATTTGAAAAATTTTTTCAAAAAAAAAATATTTACAATTTGTTTTTTAGACATTTTTAAGGCTAAAGTGGTTGTTCACGTTTAAACGAAAGGTTGAAAATGCAATCATAAAACTGACGGCGAAGTAAAAACGGGGCTCTTTAGAAAATATCTTCAGAATACTTTAATAAGTGCCATTTTCCTTTATTTCTTATGATTGTTATCGTTAATTTATTTAACTGGTTGTTTTAACAGATTAAGAAAAAAATGCCTGCTAAATAGTTGAAACCCATAAAAAATCCGATGGTTAAAAATTATTAAAAAAAAAAAGAAATTTTAATAAAATTGTCAGAAACTGGATCTCAAGTTACAATTATGCTTTCAAATAGTGAGTTTGAGTAAAACCGAAATAAACCTGATCATAATTAAATAAAAAGAGAGATATTTGGTTCTCGGCCAGCTGGTCGAAATCCAGTCAAAAACATTTTTCTAATATTTCTAAAATTATCAATATGTAGTTTCAAAGTTCATTTTTCGATCTAATAATTGATAACGTCAGACATTAACGATAAAAATCAAACCTGTATAAAAATGGTACAATATTTATTTTCTGTCTCTTGAGGGATAATTCGTGTAGCGTGTAATTTGAGAAAATTCAAAACGAAAGACCTTTTTCGCACTGAAATAAAATTCAAGTACAATAGGACGCTCAAAGCCAATTTTTACAAAAAAAAAAACATTTCTCTAACCTGACTTAGAGCCATTTTTATCACCTTCCCTTGAACTCACGCCACCGTCGCCGCCCCCAGAAACGTTCTTGTCACCAGATGTACTGCTGCCAGGAGACGCCCCGTCCCTGTTGTGGGTCCCGGGTAAGGCAGGAAAGTCTTCGGATGACATGGTGAATTCGCTGGACTCGGACGTCGGCTGTTTGACCATTCCAACGTAAGGCTTCGCACCGGGCATAGGACTTGGCTGGGGGACGTTATCACCTGAACTTCGATTCGTTAACGACGGAAACTCACTGAGGTCTAATAAAGACGGCGTGTTAGTGTCTCCAGAACCAAAAACAGAGTTAAAGGAACTGTAACCGCCCAGCGTGTTCATGTTACCCATTTGGTTACTATTTCTGAAATATAAAGAGGTCATGTTCACCCAATCGACTACTAATATCTCAAGTTCTTGCTATTAAATCCACTAAAAATAATATCCTGCAGGTTTGAAAACTGCCCAGTGCACTACTTCATTGCAAAGTTTTACTTTTGTTTTTACATATTCATATTAATTTGCTACTACTGGTTAGCTCTGAATCTATTTTAAATTGTTTTGTTCTCCGAGACTTTTACATAACCATCTGCACACGAGTAAAACACATAAGGCATTCAAACATTAAAAAAGACAGCAAAACTATCATCCAAATTCTGGAAAAGTATATGTACCTCATCTGCACAGTAGTAAAAATATACATGGTTTATAATAATAAACAAACGTATAGGTTACTTGACAGTTATTTGAATAACTCACTTGAATTATTGCCATTTTTAATGAAAATTTATTTCAATAATGTGTAATACAAACCAGTTGATATTCACAATGTCGAAACACAAATTAGGTTATATTATAAATTGCAACAAATAAAACTTCTCAAAATCCAAATATGATGATAAGATGAATAACAATACTGATTTATAGTTGATATTCAGATCTGTGACAGTTTAGATCTGGTACATACATATTAGCTGGTGTAAAATTTTGAACATATTTCTAAACGTATCGTTCTTGAAGTTTAAAATTATGCAGATATTTACCCCATAGAAGGTAGGGTTCTTCTTTCAGAAGGTGTTCTTTGTCCAAAAACAGGGGTAACATGACCAGACATAGAATTACTCCCAAAACTAACACTAGATCTTCCGAGGCTGTTACCTCCAATATTTCTTGTAAAGTTCAAATTTGCCATAGCTATCTGGTGTGAGGCAGGCCGCCTTTAAGCATAACGAAAGCAAAAAAGTTTTTTTGATCCCAACAAGTTTTTTCACCAAATCCCTATTTAAATTAATAACACAAAAAATACAAATAACATAATTCTCCACTGAAACAAATCTACTTCGCAGGCTGCAGACGAACTGGATATTCGTAACCACTTAACAAACGGTACAGGACAAAAAATATCCTGCAAAACAGAACCAAACTGTTATACAAAATATCCTTGTAATTTTAAGTTAATAAATGTTATTGTCCGACTTCTCTCCGCCATTACAATTTATAACTGTCAAAAAAAGAAGAGGGCGATTCTACATTTTCCATAATTAGTCAGCTGCAGAAAAACTAATTTGGCCGTTTTTGTTTCATAGATGGCGCCACCATAACTCTTTCACTTCAGCAGAAATTATAGAACACTGCACCCGTTGACATCACCGATGACTTTCTCCAATGACAAGTACTCGTTTTATACATACAGGGTAGGAAAGTACCGATGGTCTATCTGAAGTTACGTGAGAGCGATAAAGTAAGCCATAGAAATCCATGCGATAGAGAAGGATGGCTATAATGAAGGCCTCTCATAGTCACCACCCGTTTCGCCCTTCCACAAATAAGATCCACTTCTTATTTGTGGAAGGGCGAAATGGGCGTTGACTATTAGACACCTTCATTAAAGCCATCCTTGTCTATCACATGGATTTCTATGGCTTACTTTATCGCTCTCACGTAACTTCTGATATACCATCGGTACTTTCCTACACTGTAGATAAGAAACACTTATGGCGATATTGTAGACGAGTGATAGAGACAAGAACTAGTTTGGGTACCATATTTCTCTCTCGTGCAGACAATCAGGCATGTAATTGGTTAAAGCAACTCCCTCGTAATATTCAAATAAAATTAAGATAGAGTAAGTACCCAAACTATTGCTCTTTATCTCTAAAGCGGCTACACTTTTTAACACGCGGTGCTTCCTCCCTGTAATGTATACTCTAAGGTTAAACTTGAACTCTTGTCTACGCCGCTACTGGGCAGCTCTCGAATTTGGTTATATATATTAGCTCTGTGCGCGCTTATCAGTGTTACCAGTTGTTGCAGATCGTTTGATGCCAACTGTGTGATATTACCAGAAAACATGTGCGAGTCAGAAAAGTGTTGATATGGTTAGAGCCTACTTTTTGTCAGGAGAAAACGATGCCGTTGCAAGAACTAGAAATCAGATGGATTATCCCAAACAATAAGAAAATATTCTAAGAATTGTCCATCATTTAAGAGATTATGTAAGTTTTGGATGCCATTAGGCTCGAGAGAATATGAATTTTAATAATGATGCAATATCTTGAGACACGTTTGGACAGCAACGAAGAAATTTTGAGCGAGCATTTATCTTCGTTACGGTTTAAGTTTTCTGTTTTATAATTTTACTTACAAAAAGAAAAAAAATTATTTGTGGGATAACATTCATTCTAAAATTTCCTGCATTTCTCTGAAATTACGCAATTTTACAGCAATGCATGCCGTTTCATAAATTACAGCAGAAACGAAGAGTATCAATTGGATAAGGTCTGTTAAAAAAAAATTAAACTACATAAATCAACTTTTTGTATTAGAAAAAATACATTTACAAGTCACTTACAGCGTATTGCGATATGAACTGACGTAATAAATTAAACACCTATTTCCTACCCAATATATAATTTAAAAAATTGAAATTGAGACAATTTTGAACTTATACAGTCAAAACAAGAAATTTATATCAAATCAGCAACGTTCATCGGCATCTCATCGATCTGCGTCGAATAATACTGCTCGATATCCCTCAAAATCCTGATATCGTCGGATTTCACGAAATTAATAGCGACGCCTTTCCTCCCGAAACGTCCCGACCTGCCGATGCGGTGAATGTACAACTCACGATTGTTCGGAAGGTCGTAATTTATGACCAAGCTGACTTGTTGGACGTCGATACCTCTCGCCCACACGTCGGTTGTAATGAGAACCCTGCTCTGGCCAGACCGGAACTCCTTCATGATATTGTCACGTTCCTTCTGGGGCATGTCGCCGTGCATGGCGCTCACCGTGAAGTTGTTCTCACGCATCTTCTCGGTCAACCAATCCACTTTCCTCTTCGTGTTACAGAAAATGACAGCTTGGGTAATGGTTAGTGTATCGTATAAGTCGCAGAGCGTGTCGAATTTCCACTCTTCGCGTTCAACAGCGACGAAGAACTGTTTTATGCCTTCGAGGGTCAATTCGTCACTGTAAATTGCGGAATTAGAGGAAATAAAACACTTTTGGAGTTTACTTACCGTTTTACTAAAATGCGAATCGGATCGGTCATGAACTTTGAAGTAATTTCCAGGATTTCGTGAGGTAAAGTAGCGGATATCAAAACGACTTGTGTGGACGGAGGAAGAAATCGATACACATCGTAGATTTGTTCCTTGAATCCCTTATTCAACATTTCGTCGGCTTCGTCTAATACCAACATCTTCACCGATCTTGTACGAAGAGCCCTTCTTCTTATCATATCTACAAATTATGCACTACATAAATCTGCTTTTATTTTATTTATCAATTTGATTAAAAGTCATACCATATACTCTGCCAGGAGTCCCACTAACGACATGCTGACCGTAATCGAGTTTTCGGATGTCTTCGCCAAGATTTGTGCCACCTATGCAGGCATGGCACTGCACGTTCATAAAATCCCCTAAGGCCAAAATAACTTTCTGTATCTGTACGGCCAATTCTCTCGTCGGAGACAAGCACAAAACTTGAGTTTCCCTCATCGTTAGATCAAGAGACTGTAAAATCGCAATAGAAAATGTTGCAGTTTTTCCAGTTCCGGACTGAGCTTGTGCTATGACATCTCTTCCCTTCATAATAGGTTTAATAGCTCGCTGTTGAATAGCGGAGGGTTTCTCAAAACCTAAAAAGAAACAGTACAGGTTATGCTTGACCCACATACAATGTAAATCCTCTCACCATATGCAAAGATTCCTCGAAGAAGTTCCTCTTTAAGGTTCATGTTTTTGAATTTATCGATAACGTCCACATCTTCGCTGGTTTCGAATTCCACATTTGATAGATCTTCGAAAACCGAGGCCCCACGTCCCGTTTTAGTTGCCATTGCTGGTGAATGTGATGTACTTGCTTTATTATTTTACACGTCGATAAATGTAGAAAATATGTATTTTCGGTTCTATACTCTGCACATAATATTATTTAAATTTTTTTAAATATAAAACGACACTAAAAACAGCAAGCGTCAACTAGAAAAACACTCACTTTTAGAAATGGGGGAAAAACTAGGGAAATGAAAATGAGCAAATGAGAAATGAGGAATGAGGTTGTGTCACGGTCATGGCGTGTTCTACTTTATCGGTTAGAATGAAAACGATAGAAATGAAAAAAGCACAAACATTTTAACAAATTAATTTATTTTAACTAAATAGTTCAAGTTATAGCGTTGTTAAGACTGTATTTTTAAATAATATGAATTGTAAAAATATATGTGTTCCTTAAGACGCCCGATTTTTCATTTTCTTTGAAAAACTTGTGATCTTTCAAAATCCCGCAAAAATCGTTGAATACAGAAATGTGAATGAACTTTTTATGAAACCGACTGAGCCACCGTCAACATCATCAAATTTTGACCACGGGACGTAGTGTTGCGAGGCTGGCGAAGATAAATTTGTTATAAAATCGATCGTAATAAATACGGCAAGTGAGTTATTTAACGATGATTCAATTATGTGTGCGTTATATTTGATAAAATGTAATGAAAACCGTTCATTGTTTAGTGTAGTGGATGTTAAAATACCGCGACGGATTGTGGTAGTGTCAGCAGGTGGATTGGTATGAAACATCTTCAGAGAGGCATTTAAACATGATATCTTGTACGAAACGGGCTGCAGCCCTCCTGAAAACGTTATGAAATGCATATATCAGAAATTCAGCTTCCTTCAAACAACATCTTGACAAAATGTTCCAAAATGACAGAAGAAGGGCACAGACTATATGGAATGAATGGGAATGCTGACAGAAACATTAAGGAGGAGTGCCACAAGACTAATTATGGACAGGGAGGACGTCTAAAGTTCTTTAAAGGTATGTTTGAGAAATCAAAATTATTAATAGGAGTGCCTTTCTAAACTGAATTAATTCATTTAGATGGAAAATTTATTTTGGAACTGGAAAGGGCTCGAGAAGGTGAAAGAGTTTCCTGGGTGTCTGTACCCCGAAAGACTTTTTGGCCGCCACAAGGGACAGCTTCTTCGACCCCAGCATATCGACAAGAGAGCAGTACCTCTCTTAGTGGTAAGAGGAGATTTGTCTTTTATTATTTTGTTTTATCCTACATTATTAACTTGCTTTTTTTGGAATTTATGAATTACGTACTTTGATATTGAAATTATACAGAATATTTCCATGTATGCAACGATATATGGAGCGAAAGAGAAAGTAGTAGACACTTGAAGCATTAAAAATTGTAGTTGTAGATTAGGTGCTGTGTACGATAAAATTATTTCATTAAAATTCATGAAAATTGTCGTTTAATTATGCAGTTCTCGGTAGACTGGGAGGAGGAAAAATTTGATCGGTTTTAAATACAAATTAACAATTTGCATATTTCATGTTAAAAGGATATGATTTAAAGAAATAAATTACTTTACTTATTAGCTTTTGTTCCCATTACATGGCAAAGTATACGTTTGTTGTTTCTCTAATGTTTAAATTGGAAACACGGACATATTTCTGTGTTTTAGATTTTAATTTACAAATTAATGTGTCATCCTATTTTTTTTTATGTAACGAAAGCAGTGATAAATCAGAAAGAAATAATTATTTAAAAGTTTGCTTATTGTGTTTGTAAGTTTTCAAATTACATGAACGTAAAATGAACAACAAATGATGAAATAATAAATTGTGAAATTAATTTCTGTGCCAATACAGTTGCGATGTCTTGATTTCAGACAACAGTTGGTTTATATAAAACTTAATTGCATGCGGAATAACTGAAACAAGAAAAATATCTTGTAGGAACAAACTGTACGAGCAAGTCTTGTACATAATAAAAATTATTAAAATGCACTTTCATTTGCATTATTCCTTTGGCAGTGAATATACCTAGTTCTATAACATTTCCGTCGAATATTTAACTGCAACCATTTGATATTTTTAACGTGGGTACAGTAACAATGCCTGTTAAATCAGTTTTATGTCAATTAAGCACTTCCTAAGTTAAGAAAAAAGCAACAATTGCCCTGCTCTAATAATTCTTAGACAATGGGCTGTATTGTTACTTCTGTTTCCTAATGTAAAGCATTATTAACCTCTATGTAGGCAAAACTTCCTATCGGCAATGAGGACAAAAAAAAAACTTGGTTTGTTATGGTAAGGTTATGTCATTTTAACCTATAATTAATCTATGAATGGAAAAACTCGTTATTGTGTTGATAAATGAAAAGTCATATCGAAACTAAAGAATCGTTTCCAATCCCATTGTATCCTATTTAAAATCTAAACAAGCACCAAAATTGTGGAATTTAAATAAAATTTATACTGTTGATAAATATTAGATCACTAAAAATTGCCTAAATTGTACAGTAAATCAGAACTGATCTTATTTCTTTCCTAGTTTGCCACAATTTATGTACCAATAATTTGGCCAATTTCTTGCTCAACTTACTGTGTTAAGTAAATGTTGTTAACTAGAAGGAAAGTTTACAATTTTCATGAAGATAATTAGAAATTGGCAAATTTTTTGACTAAATTTAAAGCTACCTACTTTTACAATAGAAATAACTAACATCGATCAACTACAAACAATATATGAAATATTTATTCTTTTTCCCATATCTGGTTTAATATACTCTCGAGAATATTCACAATTTTTTCCATATACTTATATGGTATATGGTCATATACTATTGAACTTTCAATAGTATAGGACTCATTTTTTTCTTTTACACGATGCCTCTTAGGTACATATTTCTAACTACTTAATGGAAATTGTTCTTTGTCACCACCTCCATCAAAAAATTATAGACCTGAACATAAAAATGGTGTCGTGTAATAATAATACCCAGTACAGCAGCTGTAAGAGCTCATTTCTTATATGAATTTGACTTTCTGTATGTCTCCAGCCCAATAACGAATATTTTATGATATTTTATTACTAATGGCTTAATTAATTTGATAGGCATCGCTTGAACAGACATATTTAAATTTCTTTAGACGTAGAGGCCAATGTCAATGCCTAAAAGAGGGTAAAGATGTACTAAAGAAATGCAAATCTTGCAGGCTTGTTATTGCAGTGCTTTATATACTCAACGAAGTGACAAAATGTACTTATAACTTATATTAGATTAATGTAACTACAGTAACCTATATATAACTGTCTTTTAAATATTTGAGATGTAAATGAGACTCAAAATTAATCAAAATTGTAAATGTTAAGTTATATCAGTATTATTTTGGGTTATTCGTGACAAAAAATGAGTCTAAAGGCATTTTCATGGCTTCAAAATTCAAAATTTTCAGGTTAGTTACTTTGAATTTATATAATCGTCGACGTTTTGTTGTTTTATTATAACATATTCAGGACTCTATAATTATGGTTTCTTTTTATCAATCCTAAAATAAATATTGTAAGGATCTTTTTACATATCAGGGAATTTTTTGAAACGATCTGCATTTAGTAATGAATTGATACAGAGTATTGACAAAAAGAGACCATAATGGGGTGTGCATGTCATCCTTTGTCACTGAATATTAACTGCATAAATGATTTCGCTAAAAACTTATATAAATTTTTATTTGAATTTGACAATTTTAATTCAAACCATACGCCGTCAACTAAACTATGGAGGTTGTTATTAAAAAAAACTTCTTATTTAAGTAACTTCTCTCTGTCTCCCTGTTAGTAAATAAAGACAGTGGTATGAGATTTTAATTGAAATTCTTATTAACAGATGGCGCAGTTAACACGTAGTTTAGCACATCAGTGTTGTCCGTCAAATTCGCTTCAGTTTTAAATAATTTTTTAATTTCCAGCGAAATAATGATTTCATACAAAAATATAACAAGTTTTTTGTCAAATTTCTGTCAATATCAGACCAGGTGGCAAGCCATTATCGTCCTAAGGACAACAAAACGTTGACAATTCTACAAATTGGTCTTATTTCCGTAAAATAAACCTCAAATGTAAAGTAACTTACAAATCCGAAATAAATATATTAACGCCACGAAACCCTTTTGGTTTAGTGGCGTTATTGTTGCACGTAAACCGTTCTAGTTTCAGACGACAACAGCTCCATACAGTCGTCTCCGTGGCAGCGGGACCATTCCTGGAAACAAACCAACCCGTGCCGCAATATGTCGAAAGAAATGGTCCTATACTTTTGGAGACCCAAGAAGAAAAGGTTGACCAAGAGGAGCAGGAAAAGGAGGGCCCCCTACTCTGTCGCTCCAGAGCCAGAGAGTAATAGTGTTGTGTGCAGTGAAAGGACTTCCGTAAAAGATAAGAAAAATTGCAAACGTCTTCTGGTCATTGTACAAAATCTCATTGACAAGAACTTTAGAACGAGGTGAGTTGAAACGTAGATGGTTGCAGTAACTAAACTTCGTTTAGATAAGGCTGAATCTGCTTAAAGATGTTCGAAGTTGACATCGTTGCTTTCGTTCACACGAGCTATCACTCGGAGTATGACCCGTGCATGTTGCTAGAAGAGAGCGTTTCCGTGAAATATTTTTGCAATGTTTTCTTTGGTAAAATTTGCATTTTGTTATAAAAGTGGTTCATTAAGGAGTAGTCCACACTTTAGCATGAGATTCTTCGATTTGCTGTGCATCATCCGTGGTACTAGTTGCTGGATATTCAAAACATTTTCGACTACGAGCATTTTAGATAGTTTAAGTGTGTTTTTCAAGCTCTCTGAATAACATAAACAAAGCTATGCGCTACAGGCACAAACCACAAATGAAAATACTTGGCACACAATCGCGATGCTATGGCAGCATTTTGCTAACATTCCCCGTGTACTAATATACTGTAATATTGTAAATATAGACCATTTTAAAAACCAGAATTATGTAATTACTGTATTATGATAACATAACTGATTCCTAAATTTTCTGTCGAAACTTTCAGCTATCAGTATAAGAACGGAATATTACAATTACATTTTTTCCAGCACTCCGCCTCGCACAGAAACGGTGGTGTCCCCCAGGAAGCGCTTCCTCCGCGAGATGGAGAAGGACAAGGTCCAGGTCGAGGACACCAACTGCCAGAAAAGGAGCAGGAGCAAGCCGCAGCCGACCCAGATGATCCCCGTGTCGCCGCCGCAGGCGGTCAAGGTGGGCAGTCCGGGCCTGGCGAACGGCACGGAAGACACCAAGCCGCCCCGGAACTGCAGCTACAGCATCACGTCCTTGCTGGCTGAGGACCGCAACGTGAAACGTTCGCCCAGCAACTCTCCTAGTCACTATTCCCCCGTGGCTCAGCCCCAGTACTGCTCCCCGTCGTCCGAGGACAGGTGGTACACCGAGAGCGTGGATAGGCTGCGTTCGATCGAGTTGTCGGTAAGTAACGGGCACGTCCCGCGCAATTTTTTAATTCGGAAATGCTCGAATGCTGCTTTTTAAGTGTCGGAAGAGCATTTAAAAATATTTATAAAGTTTAAAAATGCATTCGCTTTGACTGTTAACGTTTTTTTGATAAAGTAGGATCATATTCGATGCAAAGAATAAATCGTTCCGTCAAGGAATCCAGTGCAGTGCGGTTTTAAGGGGTTTAGAAATTGAATAATGACAATTTTTTGTTCTACTTTGCATCGAATACGATCCTTTTATAGTGTTGTGTATGAGTGTATGTTGTATTTACAGGATGTTACTTTGAATGAGGGTCATGACATATTTATGTGGAGGTTGCCTTTGATTTTTAGAAACACAAGGTTATTTTTTTGAGATTCCTTTGTGAAAACTGTTTTTTTTTAAATATCTTCTCGTAAACCGATAAATTGAAAACTAAAATAAATGTAATAAAATGTGGTGATATATTGTCGTTTTCGTTTTGCTGAATTAACGTTGCTCATTTGTTTTTTTTTGCTCACCTAGCATCCTGGTCAATGTGATAGGTCATCGACACCGAGACTCACAAACTAAACATAGTGCTTTAAAAAAATATAGACAGACACTTTTTACTAAAAATTTGAAATTAAATTTAAAACTATTTTAAAACAAAAATTAGTTTTACTTACAATTAGTAATGCATGCCTACTCGATTATATTTGACTTAAATTTCAGATTAAAAAATATCAAATGGGGCTTGACAGAATATTAAAAAAAAAACAGATATACATTAAATGTTGAAATGAAGGTACCCCAGGAGTTGTAACATTATAACGCCCTTGATGTATATGTTCTCAAAGACTTAGCATTATTATCTTTATAACACCCTTGACATCTTAATTATTATTAAAATCTGCTTTAAGATCTGAAGAATTTGACCGAAGGCAATCTCTTGTTGACAAAATTAAAAACAAATGAAAATGACTTTACATAAAAGGAAAATGCGAAACGTTAATACTTTTTGCCTGTTATTTAAAGATTTCGATGTGGTTTTATTGACGATGTTTTTCTCTCGCAGCAAGTGGAAAAGTGCGGGGGTTACCCACCGTACCCGCCGCCCCAGTCTTACCTCGGGCCGTACATGTACCCGTTTCCGCCGATGCCCCCCTATTACGGCGCCGGGGTCTACGGCAGAGGATACGTGGTGCCCGCCGTCTATCACACGTCTCCGATGCACGTCCCCATCAGACATGAGACGCCCTCCTGCTCCTGGTCCGCCGAACCCGGGGACGTGGACCACCGGGAGGAAACAATTACAGGTCGGTGAAGTATCTATTCCATTTTTATAATATCCGACTTGAAATTACTGAGATACAAGTCGGAAAAATGCAGGTCAAAATCACGTTTTTGGATCGAAAATTTTTTTGTCGATGAATTGAAAATGTTTCGGTGTTCCATTTTTTTTATTGGGTTTATTTTGCCGACTTTGTATTGCAGAGAAAAAATCGAAAAACTGTTTTTTTCCAAATATCTATAACTATAAGATATCTCTCAGTTCTCTTATCATCATTTAACTTGTTCCTCTCTGACATTAAGTCTTGGACACGATATACAGGGTGATTATTTGTAAATGAACCGATGCTGCAGATTTTAAAATATGGCGTTCTAGCACAACTTACCTCTACATCAAGTGGCTTCGTTAGTTGCCAGATGGCGCTAAAACGAAAATTATTTTTAGTTTTTTTCTGAATAATTCTAAAACGCCCGATATAGATGATTTTTGGAATGCTACAATTTGTGTATAGATGTCACCTTTTCGAATACAGAGCTCTAACATTAAGATTACATTAGAATGGAACATTCTGTTTCACCAGACGGTGATTGGTGTAACTTTTCAAGAAATTTTATTCAACCAATCAGTGATCGCATTATCTCCAGAGTAGAAGTAACAGTTTGTCATTGTTCATTGTAAACGATTTATTAATATTGGTGACTCTAAGATTTAGGGATTTTTAGTTGACTACTAGATGTGAATTGTTGGTTGCCTAAACTCGGGGTTTATGTGGCTTGTAATCATTTATGAAGGCTCTATAGTAACTGAACTAAATGCAATTAAAGAACTGGGAAAAAGCTCATATTTTTTCTGGCAGGTAATTTTACAACTTCATCTTTTATATTTATTTCATAAATAAGATTTCAAATTAATTCTCTCTTGAAGTTCTTGTATTTCTAACGGTTTTCACCTAATTAATTATTTTATTAATCTTCACAACTCATTTTTGACACAAATCTGATTTAGTTGACATCATGAAATATTTTATCGTTTGAGATGTCCCGATCAAAAGTTGTCACAGGTATGAGTCGCAAAAATATCGAGATAAGCGACATTTATAGTGAACGAGTCCCAACACACTTATACATAGTCCTTTTTACGGAAAGCCAAATGTGTTTATAGTCAACCAATAGAGCAAAAAAAGAGGCTGTTTTTACACTTAAATATTACAGCAAATTTCATGTATTACCTTTTGAAAAATACTTAGTAAATGAAAACGCAAATGATTTCCCCAGCAAAGTCGTGAACAATTTTTGTTTAAACATTAAAAACTGCAAAAAAATGAAATTTTTCTGGTTTTTTTATAATATTTCGAAAAATAATGATGGAATCGTCTTACTCTCAATAGGACTTTTGTAGAGAATAAAAAAACCCTATAAAATGGTTTTTTGTGTGACCCGATCGGTTCATTTTTACAGAGAAAATCCGGAAAAACCTCTAAAATAGATTTTTTTTCAAAAATTCATTACTCCGTCAATTTTGATGCTGGGAAAACAATCTTGCGGAAAATGACAGAAAATAATATGTAGTTTAATTGTGCGCAAGATGGTTTCTGTCCGATGCATAGTTTTTGCACAATTGCATTATAAACAAATTAGGGTCTTTTTTTTTGCGCAGCATGGCGATTTATCAAAATGGTCCGATTTAAATTCTGCAAACGGCATCTGAAAGTAGAAGACAAAATCTCCAATTTGTATATCTCGGATTTTCACCTGGGTGATGGGAAATATGCTAAAAAATGTCCTTGAAAGTCACCTGAAACGATCGAAAGTACGCTCGAGCCAGAGTCATCCACTCGCTGCTGCCCCCACTACCACTACTCGACTCCTACGAGCGTACTTTCGATTGTTTTGGGTGACTGTCAAGGGCATTTTAGCATATATCCGAAAATCCGCTATATACAAATTAGAAATTTTGTCGTCTACTTTCAATGCTGTTTTCAGAATTTAAATCGGACCATTTTTGATAAATCGCCATGCTGCGCAAAAAAATTACCCTAATTTGTTTATAATGCAATTGTGCAAAAACTCTTCATCGGACAGAAACCATCTTGCGCACGATCAAACTACATATTATTATCTGTCACTTTCCACAAGATTGTTTTTCCAGCTTCAAATTTGATGGAATTATGAATTTTTGAAAAAAGATCTAATTTAGAGATTTTTCCCTATTTTCTCTGTAGAAAATGAACCGATTGGGTCGCACAAAAAACCATTTTATAGGTTTTTTTATTCTCTACAAAAGTCCTATTGAGAGTAAGACGATTCCATCATTATTTTTCAAGATATAAAAAAAACAAAAAAATTTCATTTTTTTGCAGTTTTTATTGTTTAAAAAAAAATTGTTCACGACTTTGCTGGGGAAATCGCTTGGGTTTTCATTTACTAAGTATTTTTCAAAAGGTAATACATGAAATTTTCTGTAATGTCTATTTGTTTTACTTTTCAGTTGAGTATTTTTGACCGATTATTTTTTACATTACATATGCCATTTTTGTCCCGCTTCTTTTATTAGACACCTGCTTGTTTTTATATTAGGCAAGTTTTTTTACTTTGCGCGCACCTTTCTTACTTTCTCTGCGCTTGGTTATTCTTCACGTCCACTTTTTTCCTTTCTGCGCTTGCTTTCTTTCATTGCTTCTGATTTTTTTTGCTACACAACTTTTTTACTTCATGTCCCTTTTTTCTCATTTTCTACCCGTTTTTCAACTTTGTGTAAGCTTTTTTCTTTACACCTGCTTTTTTTATTCCTTCAAAAATCTTCATTGTTTTGGGAGGAAGGTGCCACATGCGAACTCACCTGGTTTCTCTCACAGAGAAAGAGATAGAAAGAGAAGAGCCATACGGCTTTCCGTAAGAAAGACTATGTATAAGCGCGATGCAACTCGCTCACTTTCAATGTCGCTCGATAAGTATTCGTTTTTGGGTCTTGAGTCCATGACAACTTTTGATCGGGACATCTCAAACTATTTTCACACAAAGTAAAGTGTTGCCGATTTCTATTGACTGTGAGCGTGTTCCTTTGATTTATTTAATAGAAAAAATTAAATAATGCTTTCTAGGATGATTTTTAATCAAATCTTTCACGAGAATTATTAAAAATAGTCACCATTTTTAATTACACGCAATTCAGATTAAAAAATAATAATTTCCAGATTTCTCCTATTCCCATTTTCAAATTTGAATCGTTGTAATTATCTCAATAGAGAGAGCATGAAATTAAACGAATTCTATGAAAACTATTTGCCGAAAATTTGCAGAACGAGAAATATCCTAAATAAATGCTATTCATTTTTTTCTTCTTTCAACTGAATAATATTTTACTGAAAATGAATACCATTTGCAATAATTTTCACAAAAGCTTATACAGTTACAAATTTAGTTTTTTGTTTCATTTTTTTTATCAAATAAATCAAATTCTAGATGACGATTAAATCAGATTCCTATAAAAAATGTGTTTGCGATAACTAACAAAATAATTACAGCGAAACCGTAACGGCTAAACAAAGCAACACGGTCTAGAGACAAGACTACCTCCATGCGCCTGCCCTGTGTCGGTCCATTCTCGAATCACCCTGTATATGAAATTAGTCGAATTACGGAGCCGAATCGCTGCCATTCATAAATGTTTTCGTTTCAGATATGCCTCTAAATCTTTCTAAACATTCTGGATGAATCAAAATGTGCCTTCCATTAGAAATGTAGAAGTATACCGTCATTGAAGTGAATCTTAACACTTAAAACGAAATATACACAAAATACCATACGCAGACATACATACAAAAAAAAAAAAACTTAGGCAGGCGTAAATGCTTGCACCATGTAACATTGTCCTAAAATTTCAAGTGGCGTAACTTTGGATTCTAAATCGAAACGTCGACACCGACGTCGGGAACGATTATTCGCGTGCGAAAGGTTTAATTAGCTTTAAAGTATGGAAAATGTGCAATTGATGGCTCTACAAGTAAACTGTAGATATTATTGAGTGTATATATAGTTTCATATTTTTTCTTTTTTTTTTTGTTGTATAAATTCGTGTATTATTTAAAGCATACTTCAAAAGTTTCCTAGGGATACGTTGGAACAACTTATTTGTAAATGTATATATACCTTCTTAAAAATTGTATATAATATGTCAAACATATCATTTCACTATTTATTTAGAAAATCGTAGGGATCTTACGATCAAAACTGTCGCGAAACGATTATTTTAATTGAAAAACCGTGTTTGAAACGTTACTAGCGGCCGAAAAGATCACGGTTTTGAATTTACGACAAAAACAAGACATGATTTACGCATGGCAGGAATTGCATTTCGACATTTGACGTGGGGCGAGAGGAAACGGGAAAATGGGGAGTTCCTTCGAATCACGCATAAATTTGTGTATTTTACAGCTGTTTGTATATATTTCTAACATGTACGTGTGACATTTTTACCATTAAAATAACAAATTGTATAGAACAACTATATTTTCATATTTACGAGCTATAGAAAAAAAGTTAGTGGAATCTTTAAAAAAGACAATAGGTAAGTTGTAGCGTAACATATTTTTTTGTATGCCGGCTGTCCCGCAAGTCCCCAACAATCGATGGGACGTGATGGAGAACGGGAAAACGCCCAACGATTTTCAAATTAATACAGTTTTTGTAGGGTTTAAAATAATTTTTTTTACAACAGGACTTCCGATAGTCGCTTTCGTTTTGTTTGGGATTTACGGGACGCCCCGTATAAGGACTCTATTATCGTCTGAATATTTAGAGTATAACTAATTTCCTATTTAATAACGTTATTAATTCTTTTTATATATATTGTATTTTGTGCCATCTGCTATTAATAATTCCGGTTGGGATCGAACATATTTTTTTTGTTCCGAAAAATTTATGTTGAAGGTCTGAGCCCCGCTTCCATAATATACGATCACTTTTTTTTTTTTGAAAGACAGTTATTGGCACTTAATTATTGTGATATGAGTGAATATTTAACTTTGTAACTGGAGTCCAACCTATGAACTGAATATTTATACCTGTATTTTCTAATGTTAGGCCTCTAAAAGTGTATTGTACAGTAAAAATATAATTGTTTAATAGAGTTTCCAGAGTTTTATTTAAAAAACGGAGACGATTGTGTAGTACAGTGCCTTCATAAATGCACGAGACATTAAGGAACACAGTCTTTCCTAGAATCAAACAAATCTGTGGACACAGCTTAAAGCTGCTTATAGTTTTCGTTCGCGGTTAATGTATGCGTCGTATAGTACGCGGATAGTGTCGTCAGTGCGAGGGATAGTACAAAGGCTTTAAGGATAAGGTCAAGGCAAGTATTAATTTAAAGTAATTAAAAAACAATGGGCCCACGTACAAAAAAAATGATTACCAGCAAGCTGTAATTTAGCGTGCAGCTTAAGTTTGACGAGTCTCCCAAGATTTGACTACGAGTAAGTTTTCCCGTGATTTTCAGGAAAACATGTCAATCTGGCATAAACATGGAATGTTAAGACCAGCACTTTTTTTTAAGTTTAAATGAGATATATATTTTTTAAACCCCCCAAAAAATTTGTCCGACAAAATTTTGGCATTTTGAGTTTGTCCCCCACCCCAAATATGTCGATTTAATGTCATTATGGTTGGTGACAACCAGCAAGTTGATTTTTGCAGTCCGACGTCCCGTAGATGTAAATTTAACGACAACATGGTTGGTTATAACCAGCTGTCGGACAAAAGCGTCATTATTTAAAAAATGCAATATTAATCTGAGAATTTAATTGTCCGACAAAATTATCGGTCTTTTTTTGCTTGTTCAACAAAATTAAACGATCAAATTTTGCGATTTCAATACTTACTCATGATGTAGAAGAAAAATTTATATTTAATAAAAAAAAATATATCGATAAAAAAAATTTTGTTTAAATTTCTCAAATTTCAAAATAAATGACTAATTTAAAATGATTTTTTTACAATTACAAAAAAATTGTATAAGTTTGTGCCATTTAACACCCGCTGCCAATATCTCCGAAATGAAACTTATTTTACTTCCGGAAATTGGGGTTGTTAGGTCCCTCGAATAGCTTCAAATTGCAGTTAGAATTGTTAGTTCAAATATTCCTGTATAGATGGCGTGGCGATACTAAAAAATTTTTTGATCCCTGAAACGTGGAAAGATTGTTACATTTTGCGTAATTTTTGTAATATAAAGTTTTTCCCTATATTCACTTATTTTCGAGATATGTCGACTTCAATATGCAATGTATGATATAACAGAAAAATCTATTTTATCTAAATCACACCGAGACAAAATATTTTTTTTAAATATTGTTATAATGGCTTTATTCACACCGCATACTAACAAACAATAAATTATAAAAAAACAAATATCAACTAGAGAAACAAAATTGTACAATGGTAAATCGTATAACATAGTTAAATTGAAAGACACAAACTGATAAAACTGTAATTATTAGAAAACTAATATGTGTCATCTGTCATTTTTTATTTTAAACAAATGACATGAGCCGCCTATGATAATAAATAACATTTGATAAAATACGATTCGTCTGCCCCTTATAAGATTTACCATTATACAATTTTTTTTTCTGTAGTTGATCATTGTTTTTTTTTATAATTTATTGTTTATTAGTTAGTATTTGATGTGAATAAAGCCATTATAACAATATTTTAAAAGAATATTTTGTCTCGGTGTGATTTAAATAAAATAATAGATTTTTCTATTATATCATACATTACATATTGAAGTCGACATATCTCGAAAACAAGTAAATATTTGGAAAAACTTTATATTACAAAAATTACTCAAAATTTAACGATCTTTCAGATGGACTGTATTTCCACGTTCCAGGGATCAACAAATTTTTTAGTATCGCCACGCCATCTATACAGAAAGATTTGAACTAACAAATCTAACTACAATTTGAAGCTATTCGAGGGATCTAATGACCCCAATTTCTGAAACTAAAATTTCTTCAATTCAGAAATTTTGGCGGGAGTGTTAAATGGCACACCCTGTATATGCAATATCTGAACATTTACAAAATTAATTAACACAACTAAAATTGCTGCATTTCAATTGAACCTTTTTAAGTGAATAAAGCAGAAAAATATTGTTAAAACCGAATAGTAAATATTAAAAATTGTTAATTAATTTGTTATAAAATTATTGTTAATTAATTTGTTATATGACCAATACTTATAAAAATTGGACGTGCTTATTTCGGAATGACTCGTTTATTGAAAAAAAATTAAAAAATTCTTATTTTCTATGAAAAAAAATTATAGTATTATATAATAATAGTTTAGACGTCTTCTTCGTCGGCAGTGCTGTCGTAGCTCTCGCTCATTGAGCTTTCTTCGCTCTCATCAGATTCCCCAGAATTTGCATTAAATACATCGGAATCTAAATAAAAAAATGAAATAAAATTTACATAAGTAAATACATACATACATACATGTTGCAAAGGTTCAGTTTATGATGTAAAAATACGTACTAAAGGATAATCCTCCAATTGAAGGGCTTTCCGGGCCATCAAACCAGTAATGCGCGAATTTATTATCTATTATGGTCCAACCGCAATCTTCCGGATACCATTCAGTTGGTGATCGCAAACAGGCGTTACACCAAATGTTGCTTATGTATATAGTTATTCTTACTTGAAGAAGCGTTTGTTTCGTTGGACGTTGGAGGTACACCGGAAGCATCCAAGCCCTTCAGATTTTTTCTCGATAAAACCTCGTTTTGATTGACCTAGTAAAAATCCACGGGCCTCACCTATTTACAATGATACAATGTCACGACCAGTATCATTTATCATTTATCTAGGGTCACGACAAAGAGTATATACAATAATTCTCGTTGGTCACGAGTCGTCACTGCTGTAGATGTTATATTTTTATTTTTAAGGTGGCCATATTCCCGGCCGAGAAATAGTGAAATTTCTGGCGTTTTTAGGTACTGAAATCTTTGAAAGTAAAACGTGTAGAACAAAAGTAAGCACAAAAATAAAATCCTTGATGTTTTGTTTATTCATTGTTACCATTTAAATTTACTCAAATAAAATAATAACTAAAAAAAGCGTTTGTAAAACATGCGTTTTCTGTTATTCTAACCCCACATTTTAAGAATTATTTTCACGTACTTATAAATAAAAGTAAACAATTTTATATGTAGGACTAAGCAAGTAAATGTTATAAGAATATTTACATGTGGAGTTAAAAAAGTTAGTATTTTCGAAGATTTCAGTACCTAAAACCTTGATGGTTTGATCGTTTTTTGCACCTGTTTATTCGTTTTACTGCGGCGTCTTTGAAAATAACCAGATGGCATGACATAACATTCCTATTATTTGATAAGCTTTAGATTATTCAGTTATTAAATGTTTGAAATTATTTGTCTTTGCGGAAAACACTATTTAAAGAATATGGGGCCCTTAATGTCGTTCGTAATCGATGCCTACTGGCATGAAACATTACTTTGTATCTACTGACAGAGTGACCTACTTTTTGTAGGTGCCACAGACTTCTATATATACAGACACATTTACTAATTTTCTATTCACGACAAATAAATATAATTAATAAATAAATAATGGAGTGATTGGAGTGAAGTGGAATCTAGAGTGTCATTTTTATAGTATTACCTACATACTATTTGCATATGTTTCAGTGTATTTTACTTATATTTAAATTGCATTGTTATGTATATAAAATATTCAGCCATCAGATTTCTTTTCATCGGCAAGTAATTTTTGATTTCAGGTTATGTTAATAGATTTTGTTTTGTCTTCCGAAGTTAATAGCAATAATTGTGTCAACATCTGAACAAGTATCTATTAACTGAAATAAATAAACGATGAAAATTACTGACTAAAAATAAACTAAGAATTTTTTATTGCTAGTTGCTACATAAATTATATGATGTGCTTATGGTTAATTTTGTGGAGTATTCTTCGACATTATTATCCCTTAACCATCAAGTAATGTTGTCAAGTCAAGTAAACAAAAGCTATTTATGAATGACTTACCATACGACGTAAGGCTTACGTAGTCTATTTTGTATTAGAAGTCTGTGTATGAAACATAAGGTTATTGCAACCCAACAGTGCAAATTTAAAGTTGAATTATTTTTCATCAGATTTAGGAAATGTTAAATAATAAGGTTTGTGTTCAAAATTTTCTCCATGGTGTTTAAAAAATTATACTGAGGTCATTTTTTAAATTATTTATTTAAAAAATATTATGTATGCATCACAAATAGCAATTTACAAATATAAAGTACAGATTACTGATTATGAATTATTTTAATAGAGGTTTGATGGCATTTTCAAGTTTAATGGAATCAGCGGCAAATTTTCTTATACCGTCCGAAAGTTTGTCTGTAGCCATTTGATCTTCATTAAGCAACCACCTAAACTTAGCTTCTGTTAGTTCAAGTTTATCCAAATGTGACTTCTCTGCCTTTTCTTTACTTAACTTCCTTGGGACGGGATCGTTGCTTGCTTTTAATTCACTAAGTAGTCTTGGTTTGATGGTCAAAAAGTCACAACCAGCCAGAGCCTTAACTTCTTCTGTAAGTTAACATCAGTGTTATTAATAAATATTTTTCAAAAGAATGACTACCAAGGTCAATATCAATATACCCACCTATGTTACGAAAAGATGCCCCCATCACAACAGTTTTATATCCAAACTTCTTGTAGTAGTTGTAAATTTGTGTTACAGAGACCACTCCAGGATCTTCATCGGCGGAATATGTTTTTTGACAACTGTCGTTTGCCCTATGCCAGTCCAGGATACGGGCAACATACGGTGAAATCAATGTAACTCCTGCTTCGGCGCAAGCTACCGCTTGGGCCAAATTAAAAAGCAAAGTCAAATTACAATGCACTCCATGTTTTTCTTCCAAAACTCTAAAAACAGAAGTTTCTGTAGTATCAAGTCTTTATTTACAAGGTTATTCATACTTGGCCGCCTGAATTCCTTCCCAGGTTGACGCCAGTTTGATCAAAATACGTTCCTTTGAAATACCCTCATCCGCATAGAGTTGGATAATTTTTAAAACTTTTGCAATACTAGCATCTTTGTCGAAAGATAATCTGAAAATGGTTTTCATCATATTAGAAAGGTATTAAAAGTAGAAAAAATTTTAAAAATCTTTCTCATTGGAACTAATGTATTGTTAGTATTATTAAAATAGCTTTTATTTAATAGCACGAGGGGTAAAAAATTCAACTTTCAGGAGCCATAGGTCGAAAACAAAGGACTTTCAGACTTTGTGCCCAATGACACTTTTTATCCACGCATTCAGAACTATCACAAAGCAAAGTTTCAAAAAAATTAGCCAAAAGCCACTTTCCATAAGGAATATGTATGATTAATTAGAAGACTTCTTAGCCATGGGCGTAGCCAGGAGTTTTTCTAGGGGTGGGTCTTGGACTGTAAGCTCTATGAAGGCCTTTAAAAAAAAAAGTGAGTCCAGGGCTGCAAGCTTAGTTTAGTTTAGTTTAGTTTATTTATTTTACATATAGACATTAATACATGTATAGCAATAGTCAATATAATGATACAGTAAAACTGTACACTATTATTACAAATAAAAAATAATTTTAAATATAAAAACATTAAACACAAAAACAATTCAAAAAACATCCGCTACTTGAAGAAAAACATTTAGCAGTTAAAGGTCATAAAATTAAAAAACCTTACAATGTAAAATATTCTGGAAGAGAATAGTAACACCTATCGAGCAAAAACTTTTTTAAAATATGTTTAAAAACATGCAAGTTTTTACAAGACTTAATATTTTCCGGTAGAGAATTATAAATTTTTAAGCCAATGTGGTCAGGAGATCTTGAAGCAATCGATAATCTTGCAAATGACAAATGGAAGTGTTGCCCAATTCTAGTATTAGCAGAGTGAATATCACGATTCAACATAAAGTTATTTTTGTTTTTATAAACATATACACACAATTCCAAAATATATAACGACGTAACAGTTAAAATATTGAGCTCAACAAAAATACCTCTACAACTATGCGTGCTAGAAAGGCCAGCTATTGTTCTTACTATTTTCTTTTGAACTTTAAGTATTGCTTGGGACAGAGTGGACTCACCCCATAAACAAATACCATAACGAATATGTGAATCTACACGAGCATGATATAAACTTAACAACTGTTGTCTCGTTAAAACATCTCTTAGATTTAAAAATAAAAAGTTTATGGAACTTAAATATGAAACCACATTTTCACAGTGTGGTTTCCATGTCATGTGCTCATCGAGTAATATACCCAGAAATTTTACAGGTTCTGAGCTAGTCTTAATTGAAGAATTACCAATTTTTATGCACAGAGGCTCACACATTTTTTGTCGAGTATGAAAACGCATAATTNTTTATTTTGCATATAGACATTAATACATGTATAGCAATAGTCAATATAATGATACAATACAGTAAAACTGTACACTATTATTACAAATAAAAAAAATAATTGTAAATATAAAAACATTAAACGCAAAAACAATTCAAAAAACAAACCAAAAAAACATCCGCTACTTGAATAAAAACATTTAGCAGTTAAAGGTCATAAAATTAAAAAAACCTTACAATTTAAAATATTCTGGAAGAGAATAGTAACACCTATCGATCAAAAACTTTTTTAAAATATGTTTAAAAACATGCAAGTTTTTACAAGACTTAATATTTTCCCGGAGAGAATTATAAATTTTTAAGCCAATGTGGTCAGGAAATGAAGCAATCGATAATCTTGCAAATGACAAATGGAAGTGTTGCCCAATTCTAGTATTAGCAGAGTGAATATCACGATTCAGCATACACTTATTTTTGTTTTTATAAACATACACACAAGTCCAAAATATATAACATACCTCTACAACTTCCGTATATACAGGGTGAGTCAGTTTTTTGTAGACAAACTTTAAAAGGAGATAGAACACATGTTTTTAAAAAGAAAAGTTCCTATAAATACATGTCGTAGAAGGCTTCGTTTCCGAGATACGGGGTGTTGAATATATATATTTTTTCTCGAATATTCATTATAACTATAAACGAATGCTTAGATTTTTTTCATGTTTGGGAGATAATGCCTTTTAATTAAGGGGCATAAAACAAGCGATAAAAATGTTCAAAAGCTTGCACAGTGGCGGAGTGGAGGGGGTGCTCAACCCCTTTCTTAAACAGAACTTCTACGCCAATGACTATTTTAAAAAAAAACTGTTATTTTCATTATCTACATATAGTTTAACAAAAATAATGTCCATTCTTCTGTCTCGAAATTCCTGTGCGTTTCCGAGTTATTTTGATTTTTAGTGTTTGATGTGGTACTAAATTAATTAATTTATTATCAATTATCGGCTAAATATTTAATTCTTTCAACGAAACCTACCTAAATATGGTTTGTTAAGGATTCTAAAAAGCCGAAATCTCTTATTCTTTATCTCTTTCCAATGTAGTCAAAATAAATATTTGTTATATCAAGCTATACTCAAATACAAGACTTTTATAAGTTGAAATCTGTTACATTACATACATACAATACATTATTGTGCAGTTGCCAAAAAGTTTTAAGAAGTTGTTAATTAAATATTGTTATAAATTCAAAAAATTTCTCCATAAACATTAACATCAATGTTCATTCAATGTTTTTTTTTTTAATTTTAGTTGCAGTACATTAGTATTTACGCAGCACATAATAAATAAGGATTGTTAAAATTAGTGTACTAAACAGATTTCAACTTATAAAAGTCTTGTATTTGAGTATGGCTTGATATAACAAATATTTATTTTGACTACATTGGAAAGAGATAAAGAATAAGAGATTTCGGCTTTTTAGAATCCTTAACAAACCATATTTAGGTAGGTTTCGTTGAAAGAATTAAATAT